TTTTTGCAGCATTAATTGTCATAATAGAGAAAAAGGAGAGGAATTGTTTTTTTCAGGGAAAGCTTGTTTCTCTAAAGAGACATTTCCCGTTCTTAACCCATCTCCTGTTTTTCCATTCATGAAACACTTTCATGACAAACACAAATACACGACAAACAAATAAATAAATAGATAAATAAATACACTTTCAATAAATATATGTGGAACAAAAATAAGTTAACACTTTCAAAAGAGTTGTTCACATTCACATTGTTGGTGCCGCCCTCATAAACAATCAAAACAGAACGACAGGTGCAGAAGTAGAAAAACAAGGTATGGAAAATATAAAATAAAACAAGATTAATTTCATTCTTTATGTGTGGCTTCACTTTTCCTCGTCCAGGCAGATTGTGTGCAGTGTTTCTATAGCAAGTCTCAGCTATTTCCTTTCCCTTCTTGTAAAAAGTCCATCATTTGTTCGTTTCTCCGTCGAAGAAGACTGTATTTGGGGCTTTGGCGTCGCCCTGCATCCTTTTGCGTCTATTGTCAAACTAAAAGGAACTTAGAAAGGGTTTCAGTTGCCTAATTGTGGCTCAAGCCTTTTTATTCTAATTTCACTTTCCCATCATGTTGTACTTTCAAGGACTTCTCAGGAAAGCTTTGGACTTAATTCAATACAATATTCACATGCTAATTTGTACATTGAAAGAGTTATTAGTCACTGTAATGCACCCTCCTATACATACTGGTTGTTCAGTAGTTCCTTGTGACTCCACCGTGAGAGATAGAAGACAAAATACCCATCACAAAAATGCTTTCTTAAACTAATCTGAAGGTAACATGAAGATTTAGTCATGTGAGACAACCCAAATCAGTGTCTTTCTCCTGGCAATCATGAAGGCTTGTGCCTTGTTTACATAATATAATACAGATTATAAATTAGCCTTGTAGTTTTAATGCTCAGGGACAATTATGAGAGTTACAATCTCGTCAACTTGATACAAAGAACTACCACAATGTCCACAGATTGCTGGCAAAGAGGCCGCATAGCAACAATAGCAACCAGTTAGCTCTGGATTAAAGCACTGATGCTAATGCTAATACTTTAGCTAATTGAAAAGCAGCTATGATAGGTTTACTATTATTTTGTATCTGGTGTCATTTGTTAACAAATCATACAAATTTGACAGGCAAAAGTAATTAGTCTTTTTAAAGTATGTGACTTCAAGGCTAGTTTTGGGTTAGCCATCTAAAAAAAACACAACACTAATGCTAACATTATATTTAACATCTAACATTTTCAGCAACTTTTGAAACTATCAGTCCATATCAAATCAAATCTTATTTGTAGAGCACATTTAAAAACGATTTTGGTCGAGCCAAAGTGCTGTACATGTAATTTGTTCCATTATGTTCAGTTAGAAGTATTTTTTTATCAATATCAATTGTGCCAGCTAAAATGACAGCTTTAGCTAGCTAGCTTGTTAGGCTAACAGTAGCTCAATGAGTTGGCAGAAAACTCAAGCTAACTCCTTTTTAAAACAGTAACCTTTAAAAGGGTCTTAAATATGAGTGTGACAGCTATCATGTATATTATATTATGCCTTAGATGCAGAATGAAAAGTGAGCCAATGACTTGTATGTAGCATGTTGAGAAAACCAAATATGCCTATTAATGGTTGCTAAGCTATGCTTTTCTAGGCAGGGTTTAACTAATGTAAGTTAGGCTAACTCCGACCGCTAACGCTTCTTTTAGCTTCTGCTGACATTAGAATGGAGAGACGTAAAAGCTCAATGCTATTATGCTAACAGTACAACAGTAATGTTAGCACAATAGTACTGTTAGAGTACAAAGTATGCACAACACTTCAGCTTTTTGAGGAATCCAAAGTTAGCTAGTTTGGTTTCTAAGCTTCACTTGAACAATGTAAGCTTTGGCTAACGTTAGCATTCAGACTGTGGACTTTGTATCCCATCTTTCAAGGTAGAGTCGCACTTGGGATGAATTACAGGAGAAACAACGGCTTCGTAAATGAATATTGTATTTCTAAAGACTTGGAAAACCTTCCTCAACAAACAGACCCAGCTTTCAGTGCCATTTCTACGTTAGCTTAAATTCATGCGGCTACTTTTTTCCTTCCTTTGCTACCAAATGAATACATCTTGCTAGCTACTCTCCATCTATCTATCCCTCTCTACTCCTCTAGTGTGAATTTTCACTTGTGAGACATTCTAACTGTGGTGTGACGACTAGTGTCCTCTAAATCTAACTAGCTATCCACTTTTTCTCCTCCGTTAAAGGCAATACGGTATCATAGCTTTATCAGTGTATTCAGAAATAACCGTGGGAAATGTATGCTTCTCAAACACTCAAGGAAAATCCGATGTTAAGCTAGCTAAAGGGCTACGTAGATCCATTCTGCGTCATTCTTGCCCTGCTCTCAGACTCCCTGATGGTTAAAGAACAGCATTATGTCTGCTAATTATCTTTAGAGAAATCCACTTTAACGATCAAGAATATTCCTGTAACTCTTTCTCGTAAGACATCCTTATTTTGCTTGAGAACACACATTTGTCTTCATTTAGAAAGTGAGGAGAGCGGGTTTCCTGTCTCCACACGAGGAGGTGTTGATGATCCAGGTGTCAGAAAATAATAAAAGACGTTTGAGTGACGGATGGAGGTTTCCTGGTGGATTTGAACCACGTGTTGTGAGTGCAGCTTTGTGAGAAGGTCGTGTGCTTTTTGGATTTGTTGAGCGGATGAACAATGTTTTTCCATGGCTGTCATCTTTTCCTGTATAGAGTGGTGCAGGAATGAGTCCTAAACCCCGGGAATGAGTCAGCATTTTATCACCTGGTCTGGAGGTCAATGGTTTCTGAATGTGTTTTTGGTTGTTGTTGCTATCAAGTGTCTAAATGATACGACTAAACAACTAAACAAAGTCATGTGACCGTGCTGTAGTTATTTTATAGCCCAACATTAGCCACCTTTAGCTTGGCGACGGTGACGTGAAGTCATGTGACCGTGCTGTAGTTCTTTTATAGCCTAACATTAGCCACCTTTAGCTTAGCAACGGTGACGTGAAGTCATGTGACCGTGCTGTAGTTCTTTTATAGCCTAACATTAGCCTCCTTTAGCTTAGCAACGGTGACGTGAAGTCATGTGACCGTGCTGTAGTTCCTTTATAGCCCAACATTAGCCACCTTTAGCTTAGCGGTGGTGACGTGAAGTCATGTGACCGTGATGTAGTTCTTTTATAGCCCAACATTAGCCTCCTTTAGCTTAGCGACGGTGACGTGAAGTCATGTGACCGTGCTATAGTTCCTTTATAGCCCAACATTAGCCACCTTTAGCTTAGCGGTGGTGACCGTGCTGTAGTTCCTTTATAGCCCAACATTAGTTTTTTAGTTCAGAAATCATAAAGTGGTGTTAATATGTGGAGATTATCCTGCTGAACTAAACGTGTAAGTATCATAAACGTTAAGAATATTTTCTGCAATAACCCAAAATCACATGGAGAAATCCCATTGGACCAGGGAGATGCTGCCTTCAGGGACAAACACAGAAATACAACATTACTGCACCACTCTATTTCTCTTGTTTGTTGGGACTTCTTGCACCATCTTGTCTTCAGGCTCTGATGAGAAGCTATTGTCTCTGAAGTCTGACACACTTCTACTAAAATCCGGGGAAATTCTCCGTCTTATCCCAAGATCAGCTTCAAGGAAAAATGTCCCCCTCCTCCTTCACATTGCTTTGGAATAATGGCAAGAAGCAAGGAAGGAAGTGAGGAAAGTAGTCTAGTTGCAGCTCATAGAGTCCTGTCGTGAATCCGGACATGTTGAGTACTCCAACGTTTTATGTAGGAGCCAAAATGCTACTTAGCCTGAGTTTATTATTTGTATTATCATTACTTATCATTTTATTTGTATTAGTTGAGCACTTCCACATGGGTGTGGTTTGTGTTTTTAGGTCACCTGTTACCTTGCGCTGACATAAGTTATTGTGTGTTATTTTGTTTATTAAAGTATAGCAATCCAGCTCGAAGAAAACTGCCAGATGCCAGAAGTGGGAAGTAGTGGAGTACAAATACTTCGTTACCAGTATCAGTACTTTACTCCACTACTTATTTTTCTGACGACTTGTTACTTTGACTTCTTACATGTTGAACTCAAATACCTGTACTTTCTACTTCTTACATGTTGAACTCAAATACCTGTACTTTCTACTTCTTACATGTTGAACTCAAATACCTGTACTTTCTACTTCTTACATGTTGAACTCAAATACCTGTACTTTCTACTTCTTACATGTTGAACTCAAATACCTGTACTTTCTACTTCTTACATGTTGAACTCAAATACCTGTACTTTCTACTTCTTACATGTTGAACCCAAATACCTGTACTTTCTACTTCTCACATGTTGAACTCAAATACCTGTACTTTCTACTTCTTACATGTTGAACTCAAATACCTGTACTTTCTACTTCTTACATGTTGAACTCAAATACCTGTACTTTCTACTTCTTACATGTTGAACTCAAATACCTGTACTTTCTACTTCTTACCTGTTGAACTCAAATACCTGTACTTTCTACTTCTTACATGTTGAACTCAAATACCTGTACTTTCTACTTCTTACATGTTGAACTCAAATATCTGTACTTTCTACTTCTTACATTTTGAACTCAAATACCTGTACTTTCTACTTCTTACATGTTGAACTCAAATACCTGTACTTTCTACTTCTTACATGTTGAACTCAAATACCTGTACTTTCTACTTCTCACATGTTGAACTCAAATACCTGCACTTTCTACTTCTCTCATTTCCCAAACAGCTGGTTCCTTTAGTCTGAATGTGTGTTTGATGCGTGATCATTATTCTTTAGAGTCATTGCGTGCCTATTGATTTGAACACGATCCGTGGATCCATCATTTCCTGGTCTTCTCTAAAGAAGAGGGACCAATGGAAACGTTGTCATGTTGCCGTTGTTCAGCATGGAAACATTCATTAGCTAACAATGACATTATTGTTCTATTAATATAAAGGGAGGTCAGGTACTCTTTAAAGCAGCTGCTAGTTATGGGTACTTTTTACTGAAGTACACTTCAAAGTTCTTTACTTTGACTTGAGTGAAGAAGTTTAGTCAGTACTTCTACTTTCACCAGAGTATGTTTAAACACGAGTATCTGTACTTCTACTTGAGTAAAGGATGTGTGTACTTTTACCATCTCTGCCGGATGCTAGCCTGCATATGACGGGACATTTGCCAAACTTTTGGAGGTACTCAACATTTCCCGGATTCTCACTGCTGGCAACTAGACTGGACTAAATAGGAAAAGGATGAGGGGAGGACTGAGGGAAGGAGGAGAAAAAGGCCTTTTTAGGACGACCCTCTTCCCAGACATTCGTTCAGGGGTGAGACTGCGTCCCGTTAGACGCCGACAGGAGTCTGGTCTTGTCTTTTCCCGACTCTTTTCTCTGTAAAGTTGTCCCGCTGCTGCTTCCCTCCGCCGGACGATCCTTTTCCACCCGATCTCGCTCAGAACCGCTTTCGGAGCGTCGGGAATTCTGCCGGGAAGGAGTGGAGGGCCGCGAGATCTGACAGCCGTTCTTCTCATCTGAGGGGCCAGAGGTGGGAAAACAGAGAGAGGAGACTTGAAACAAACAATACTGGAGGAAGGGGAAGAAGAAGTACTCTGATATTTACTTAAAGTAAATAGCAATACTACAGGGAAGAAGTACTGTGTTACAAGTAAGAGTCCTGCATTCAAAATGTTCCTCAAGTGAAAGTAGAAAAGTATTCTCATCTAAATATAGTGAAAGACAGTAAAAGTAGTCGTTGTGCAGATTGGTCCATTTCAGAATAATATATATATATGTTTTATAATGATTGATCATGAAAGTGTTCTCAAAGCTGGTGAAGGTGCAGCTAGTTTGAAGTACTTTGTATACTGCAGATGGATATCTGAACCTATAATTATAGGTACATGTTTATTTATTAGTGTATTTATATTTTATATTAGCTAATCATCTGAATCTGTAAAAAAAAAAAAGGCGGAGTTTGACATTTGCGCTTGGGGGGGGCAAACCTTTTTTTACTGACTTCCCAACTATTGTGTGGGGTGCTACAGATACAGTAGCAATAAAGCGTTCACCGCACTGAGTATGACTTTTCCACATACGAACACAACTCGTCCCGTCATGCACGCCTCATGCCCGCCGTACACACTCACTCATATGGAAGGGGCGGTCTCTCCCCCCAACAACATGCATTACATACCTGCACACATCTTACTTATTTGATAACTACTATATCCCTTGGTTACTTGAACACGCTACAATATTATTAACGAGTGTCCTACCTTATTAAAATATTGATATACGAAATATTTGTATTGGAACAGTTTTAGACGTAGTAATGCTGTAACATATTTCAGCCACTAGGGGGGGCAATGCCCCCCCCCCGCAAAATCCGCCTATGGGTAAAGAACCCCAAAATCTTAGTTAGGTACAATATGAGTGTGTGTGTGTGTGTGTGTGTGTGTGTGTATGAGTGTGTGTGTGTGTGTGTGTGTGTGTGTGTGTGTATGAGTGTGTGTGTGTGTGTGTGTGTGTGTGTGTGTGTGTGTGTGTGTGTGTGTGTGTGTGTGTGTGTGTGTGTGTGTGTGTGTGTGTGTGTGTGTGTGTGTGTGTGTGTGTGTGTGTGTGTGTGTTTGTGTGTTTCTTACCAGCCAGTGCCTGCACAGAGGGCTGATCATGAGAACTCAGCAGCTGAGCCTGAATCGTCTCCACGACTCTCTTAAATCTGCGACTCGGACCTGCGAGCAGAGAGAGGAGCAACTGGGATGCATTCATTGTGTTTTTTTAAGCCTACAAAAAAATGTAGATGTTGAATTTATGGAAGACATCCTCATGAATAGAATAAAGGGGACTGTGGCTTTGAGGCGGTGCATTGAACTTTCAGTCGGAAAATTGTAGGTTCGTTCAGCCCCTGCAGTCAACATATTGAGGATCCTTGCAGGGACGATTCTAGACCAATCTTACTGGGGGGCCAGTTATTTTATGAGAGGAGCACAATAAACACGGTTAAAGAATACAAAGACGGTATAAAGTGGGAGAGAAACTCCCTCTGGAGGGAACACAGGGATCACACTAGAGCAGGGGTTTCCAAACTCTTTTCACCGAGGGCCACACACAGAAAAATATACGAAGGGCTGGGCCGCTCACTAGAGGTATATCGCCTCATAAGATCAGGTATAAGTCAGCAAAATCAATTAAATGTAGGTAAATTATTCTTGATACTTGAAAATGCTTTAAGAAACACAACAGCCTCCATCACAACTCTCTATAGGGTTTCAATTGTTTTGTTGGCAGCTCATTCCTTAAAACAGAAGCTTCAGATCGATTATCATAAGAGGAACTATGAAGGGTAGATTTCAAGCTTGTTATGTTATTAAGTTATTGGGCTTTATTTTATATCTACTTAAATTAGTTAGAAAATGTTTTCAACTTTAAAAACTGTGCTTACTAACACATGAATACTGTGCGATATATTTGTATGTATATTTTTAAGAAAGACAAGCACAAGTTTCATTTGAAGGCCCTATTTCATTATACTTTTGGAATTTACCGAGGGCCGTTTCAAAATGGGCCACGGGCCGTATTTGGCCCCCGGGCCGTAGTTTGGACACCCCTGCACAAGAGGCACAAAATATGCACATATTTGGGCCTCTTAACACATCTTCCCCATGAACCCATTACCTGTGATCAGGCTGAAGGTGACGCTGTAGATCCCCAGCTCTCTCTTCCCCTCCCTCTCTCTCTCTCTCTCGCCCTCAGAGAAACCAATGTCCACCTGAAGAGGAGATTAGAGATTAGAGATAATAATAATACAGGTTATTTATAAAGCGCTTTTCATGGTGCCCAAAGCGCTTTACAAGCAGATGGTGATTATTATCAGTTTGTGTGTTTCTTTCACTTCTTTCCGCCTCATCAGTGTCGCATGCCACCACCAGGGGCAGTGAAGATGGACATGTTTAAAAGAAACACACTGCTTTATGGAAACTACAAGATAAATGAAATATTGTGAGCTGTTGACCTCATCTATGTGTCTGCAAATATAAATACAACATGCAATATCAAGTACAAAAACACTACATTGATGTGTATTAGATGTATTACATGTACACACATAATACATCAATATCTTACATATTAAAGGCTCAACAGAATATATTTTGGATATAGGGAGGCCCTTTAATATTGGACTGATTGCAGTAACAGTGAATTTTATTAGAATCGTTAACAAATAATCTACTCCACTGAGAACAACATTTCTTTTACCATTTTGATATTTTCGCCCACAATTGTAGGTCCTTCATTTTACACTTAAGTTTGACTTTATTTATTTGTTTGTCTTTTTCATGTTGTGTGTGTGAGCGAATACAGTAACTCTGTGCTGTGATATATGCATTATGAATTCTGCCTAAATGCAGGCTAAAGCTGCGTGAAGGTTTTAGATTGTATACTAGTATTAAATATGAATGTTCTATTATTAAATATTTGTTTATATGATGCTGATATTACAACATGTAAACTCTTCACAGGGAGCATTTGCATATTGAAATAATTATATCATTATACACATTATATACTCTGCATGTTTTAATGTTACTGGCCAGGCCACACGGGGATGGATAGTTAATAAAAACGCAGAAATACCTGGAACTTGACGGGCTTCTGGAAGACAGACGGGCCGCCGGAGGACTTGTACTCTGCCCGGAAACTATTCTGAGAAACAACACTGTGGCTGAGGGACGGGATCTGAGAGGAGAGAGAGAAACACTCAGAGGAACTAAACGCCATAAATACAGCTTTTATAAGGAACTACAGCACGGTCACATGACTTCACGTCACCACGCTAAGCTAAAGGTGGCTAATGTTGGGCTATAAAGGAACTACAGCACGGTCACATGACTTCACCGTCACCACCGCTAAGCTAAAGGAGGCTAATGTTGGGCTATAAAGGAACTACAGCACGGTCACATGACTTCACGTCACCACGCTAAGCTAAAGGAGGGTAATGTTTGGCTATAAAGGAACTACAGCACGGTCACATGACTTCACGTCACCACCGCTAAGCTAAAGGAGGCTAATGTTGGGCTATAAAGGAACTACAGCACGGTCACATGACTTCACGTCACCACCGCTAAGCTAAAGGAGGCTAATGTTGGGCTATAAAGGAACTACAGCACGGTCACATGACTTCACGTCACCACCGCTAAGCTAAAGGAGGCTAATGTTGGGCTATAAAGGAACTACAGCACGGTCACATGACTTCACGTCACCACGCTAAGCTAAAGGAGGTTAATGTTGGGCTATAAAGGAACTACAGCACGGACACATGACTTCACGTCACCACCGCTAAGCTAAAGGAGGCTAATGTTGGGCTATAAAGGAACTACAGCACGGTCACATGACTTCACGTCACCACCGCTAAGCTAAAGGAGGATAATGTTGGGCTATAAAGGAACTACAGCACGGTCACATGACTTCACGTCACCACCGCTAAGCTAAAGGAGGCTAATGTCGTCTAATTTAGACACTTATACAATATTAAATCCACCAGTGGGGTATTTACTGACGTATCTCTTCAGTTTGTGTTAAAACCACAGACTTCATTTCAGACTAAAAACACATTCAGAAAACCATTGACCTCCAGACCCCGGGACAGGAAGTGATGAAATGCTGACTCATGCCAGGGTTTTAGGACTCATTCCTGCACCTCTATATATATATAGTATTATATATGAATGTCTAAACTCACGGAGAGGAAGGCGTGCACGATGTCCGCCTTGATGGAGCTGAGCGGTTTGTCTCGAATCATCACGAAGATCTGCTCCTCTTTCTCCAGAGTGATGAAGTTCCCGAACCACGACTTCTTAGCCAGTCTGCAAACAAGCAAGGGTTGGATAAGATAATATCAGAATACTTTTATAAGACCCCATTTACACGGGAACGTATGCATTTTCAAAAAAGTCTTCCGTTCACACGCATTCGATTCATTAACGTGTCCGTTCACACGAGACCGCTGGAAACGCTGTAGTACATATGCCAGGCCTGTAAGTGGCGCTGCTGCCGCCACAAAATACACCAAAAGCAGTGAAGAAGACCCCTTTATTCTCAGCGGTGGACGGCGTGTGCTCCTGCTGTAAATCTCTCCGGTAGTCCACCAGCAGATGAAAAACACCCACCTCTCTGCCTCTTCCAAGGGACGAGGGGACCGTGCGGCAGAGTTTCCGTTAACATTTTTTTCCGCCGGTCAACATGTCCGTTAAAGTTTAAATCTTCCGGACAAAATTAGAAAAGTGCCGGTCAGAGGTCTTCTTTGTTATTTATTGAGCTTTAAAACAAATTGATAACGACTCTATATTGTAGTGCCGAGAGATAGGGAGTCAGAGGCGGTGCAAGGAAGGTGCAAAAGGGAACTTTATTTGAGAGCAGCTAAGGTCATGTTGTCCGGTTGCAGTCCGGGAAGAAGAGAGAAAAGCCAGGAGGGCACACAACATATATAGTAAACACATAACATGTCCGTGTGGGAACAATACCCCCAACTGTAGTTCCATGTATGAATTATGAACCAGTGTATTAATAGGTGGTCACCACACAAGCCCCGCCAGAATTCAAACATGGCAAAAAATTCTCGCATCCGTGGAGGAAGCACCACAGGGGCCGAGGAGGGTGGGGTCGCAGGTGAGGGCCGGGCCACGGAACGGGCCGACGAAAGGGGGCCGCAGGAGAGGGTAGGGGCCCTAATGAGGGCGAGGGCACCTCCACCGGGGGCGGGCCGGAACGGGCCGTCGTAAGGGAGCCGCAGTAGGTGTCGTGGCGAATGAAGTCCTCGGCAGGCGTCGAGGTATCCCAGAGAGGGAGGAGCAGTCTCCCCGGGAGGAAGGAGACGTGGACAGATGAGAGGCCAGACAGGGTCCCGGAGCGCGCCACCCATGGGCCGATGGAGCATGGGCGACGTCTGAAACTGTCGAGGCGAGACGGGGTCCAGGAGTGCGCCACCCAGGCGCCGATGAAAACGTGAGTGGCGTCTGGAACCGCCGTCGAGGTGGTGAAAAAAAGCTGAGTGTCCAAACGAGGTCAACCGGCTGGTCGAACCTCCTCTCCGGCACCGGAAAAAATAGTTAACAGTCAGATGTTAACAGAAATACGTCGACAGCCGTTAACAGCTAGCCGTTAGCCGCTAGCTGGCAGCCATGGGTAGCCGCTAGTCGTCGTCAGCGTGCAGCCGCACGCCCCGAAGAAACAAGCCCACGAGGTAGCCATCGGGTTGCTGGTCTACCCAGCAGGTCGTGCATCGTCCCCCCGTTGGTTGGAAGGCTGATGCGGGAACGGCGAGCAACGTCCCCAGCTCTTCTGCGGGACGCGCACCGAGCCTCAGTCCGCGTGCCGGTGGCAGCCACGGACCATTCCAAAAAATCCCCGGCATTTCGAGAAAAAAACTTGCGTTCTTTTTGCCGTGTTCGGGTCCATCCCGGAAACTTCTCGAGACGTGTCAGGGTCACCAGTGTAGTGCCGAGAGATAGGGAGTCAGAGGCGGTGCAAGGAAGGTGCAAAAGGGAACTTTCTTTGAGAGCAGCAAAGGTCATGTTGTCCGGTTGCAGTCCGGGAAGAAGAGAGAGCAGCCAGGAGGGCACACAACATATATAGTAAACACATAACATGTCCGTGTGGGAACAATACCCCCAACTGTAGTTCCATGTATGAATTATGTCCCAGTGTATTAATAGGTGGTCACCACAATATAATAATATAAGAATAATAAACGGAGCCTCCCTTTTCCTCCCCCTCTTCTGACAGCCCAGCAGCTGATCTCTGAGCAGGAGAGGTGGGGAGAGGGGAGATATGGGGAGAGGGAGAGGTGGGGAGAGGGAGACGTGGGGAGGGGGAGGAGAGGGAGAGGTAGGGAGAGGGAGACGTGGTGGAGAGGGAGACGTGTGGAGAGGGAGAGGTGGGGAGAGGGAGGGTGGGGAGGGGGAGGAGAGGGAGATGGGGAGAGACGAGAGGGAGATGTAGGGAGGGAGACGTGGGGAGAGGAGGAGGGGAGAGAGGGAGATGTGGGAGAGGGAGACGTGTGGAGAGGGAGAGGTGGGGGGAGAGGGAGATGTGGAGGGGAGACGTGGGGAGAGGGAGACTGTGGAGAGAGAGTGGGAGGGAGACGTGGGGGGGAGGGATAGGGGAGTGGGGAAGGGGAGACGTGGGGAGAGGGAGACGTGGGTGAGGGGGGCGTGGGGAGGGGAGACGTGGGGAGGGGGAGGCGTGGGGAGAGGGAGACGTGGGGAGGGGGAGGGCGGGGAGGGGAGGCGGGGCTATTTTCATCGTTATCAGGACATGATCGTATAGGGCGTACAGACGGAGCCGTTTGCCCCCCAGAGCGCTCCGTTTGCAGATCTATCCACCTTGGGACCCGTTATCGTTTGCGGGGTCCGTTCCTATCGTTTTGTCACGGCCTCGTGTGAACGAAAGCGCTATACGCAAGAGAAACTATGCGGATACAACCCGTATCGTCCTCGTGTGGCCGGGGTCTTAGTCCCACAGAGGGGAACAGTACTTTGTTACAGCAGAAAAGAGCCAAAGACAGCTTAATGCTACCGGATAGGATACGATAGGAAGTACTTTATCGATACCAATGGTGGAAATGTTCACGTTGCAGCAGCATAAAAAACAAGGCATTGTACATTAGAGAAATTAAAAGAGTAGAAATAAACAATTCTAAAAATGTAAACATCTCACAATAGAAATAAAACAGCATTAAAAAATTAAAAAATATACATTTTTATCAATTTACAGTAAACTGATTATAATAAGTTCGGTGTTGGTAATTAACAAAGTAAATGGACTCTTGTACTGTACTCAAGACCAACTTTCAGATACTTTACTTTACGTATTTCCATCTTATATTATTTTATGTATGCATTTGAACATGTTTTGCATTTGGACGCAGTCAAAATAACACGTTAACAGAGAGAAAATGCGAATCGAGACGTTTTGAGCGTAAAATGCATATTCACTGTAGCCCTTAGCTAATCCATGCTATTATGCTATACTGTAATTGAATTATTTCCTGCACTTTACTTTGTTATTACGATATTTGATGTATGTATGAATGCTAGCTTTACTCCTCTCTTCGTACTTGTATAATGACAATAAATGCGTCTATATTATTATGATCATGAAATAAAGTGAGGTACATGATTCTGGAAACAGGAGTTGATACAAATCTATGTCCTGGAGTCTGAAAGCATCCATCAAACACCAAATGGACTTTGTGGAAAGACCGTTTTGAAATGTTGTTTTGCACTTTTAGACATCGTAAAGTAGAGAAAGACTTACTCTGGACTGGACTCCGGAGTCAGACTGGACATGTCCTCTGATGTGGGAACTACAAAAAGAAAAAGAGTGAGTAACGGAAAAGGGAAAGGGCAGTGAGTCCTGACGACAGGCTCTACAGTAAATGGCCTGATTGCAGATGATCAGAGACATTAGTGACGAAGCCTGAGGCAGGACACACACGTAGTAATAATACCCTCTGAACTGGATGTGGAGACAAACTGTTAGCAGAGCATCAAGGTCACAGCGATGGAGAAACATGTCCTACAAATGCATTTTCATTATCAATCAGTGGAGAAGATGCACACCTTCATCATTCACTGTCTCTGATTGGCTGAAACCCCAAACAGGTCATTGCAGCATTACCCATAACCCCCTCTGTTTCAGCCCTGTTTCCAAAGTGCTGATTCTCTGTCTGTTACTTCAGATGAAAATAAGGAGCCCCTCCCCACGCCCCTCTGAGAGACATTTGGTTACAAAGAACTCAATGGAGCTCTAGAGGAGATTCAGGTGATATGGGGGGGGGTTACCTTGGTTGCTGATTGGCTAATGGTTACACAAGACAAAACATCGTTATGACATCATCAAGTGGCCAAAATCTGATCAGCTCATTTTCAGACAGGTTTTTATAGAAATGGATCAAAAGAGAGAGAATCTTTGTTCCTGAAACTTTCAGAGTCTCTTTCCACAGAGGGGACACATGTTGATGTAGAAGAGACATGAAGAAGAGAGGACACATGTTGATGTAGAAGAGACATGAAGAAGAGGGGACACATGTTGATGGAGAAGAGACATGAAGAAGAGGGGACACATGTTGATGTAGAAGAGACATGAAGAAGAGGGGACACATGTTGATGTAGAAGAGACATGAAGAAGAGGGGACACATGTTGATGTAGAAGAGACATGGAGAAGAGGGGACACCATGTTGATGTAGAAGAGGACATGGAGAAGAGGGGACACATGTTGATGTAGAAGAGACATGAAGAAGAGGGGACACATGTTGATATAGAAGGAGACATGAAGAAGAGGGGACACATGTTGATGTAGAAGAGCATGAAGAAGAGGGGACACATGTTGATGTAGAAGAGACATGGAGAAGAGGGGAACACATGTTGATGTAGAAGAGACATGAAGAAGAGGGGACACATGTTGATGTAGAAGAGAATGAAGAAGAGGGGACACATGTTGATGTAGAAGAGACATGGAGAAGAGGGGACACATGTTGATGTAGAAGAGACATGAAAAGAAGAGGGGACACATGTTGATATAGAAGAGACATGAAGAAGAGGGGACACATGTTGATGTAGAAGAGACATGAAGAAGAGGGGACACATGTTGATGTAAGAAGAGACATGAAGAGAGGGGACACATGTTGATGTAGAAGAGACATGGAGAAGAGAGGAACACATGTTGATGTAGAAGAGACATGGAGAAGAGGGGACACATGTTGATGAAGAAGAGACATGAAGAAGAGGGGAAACATGTTGATGTAGAAGAGACATGAGAAGAGGGGACACATGTTGATGTAGAAGAGACATGAGAGAGAGGGGACACATGTTGATGTAGAAGAGACATGAGAAGAGGGGACACATGTTGATTGTAGAAAGAGACATGAGAAGAGGGGACACATGTTGATGTAGAAGAGACATGAAGAGAGGGGACACATGTTGATGTAGAAGAGACATGGAAGAAGAGGGGACACATGTGATGTAGAAGAGACATGAAGAAGAGGGGACACATGTTGATGTAGAAGAGACATGAAGAAGAGGGGAACACAGTGTTGATGTAGAAGAGACATGGAGAAGAGGGGACACATGTTGATGTAGAAGAGACATGAAGAAGAGGGGACAACATGTTGATGTAGAAGAGACATGAAGAAGAGGGGGACCATGTTGATGTAGAAGAGACATGAAGAAGAGGGGACACATGTTGATGGTAGGAAGAGACATGGAGAAGAGGGGACACATGTTGATGTAGGAAGAGACATGAGAAGAGGGGACACATGTTTGATGTAGAAGGAGACATGAAGAAGAGGGGACAAACGTGTTGATGTAGGAAAGACATGAAGAAGAGGGTACACATGTTGATTTATGATAGGGGAGAACAGAAGAAAGGGGGACACATGTTGATGGTAGAAGAGTACATGAAGAAGAAGGGGACACAGGATGTTGATGTAGAAGAGACATGAAGAAGACGGGGACACATGTTTGATGTAGAAGAGCCATGAAAGAAGTGGATTGGCATAATAGAAGCGGTGTGCGAGGGAGGACGTTATCAAACCTGAAAGGAAGCTGCTGTTCCCTCGACTAAAGCAAAGCGAGGGGTTGCTTCTCCAGAGGATTAGGAAAAGAATCTGTTTGATAAATGCACGTTTTGTTCAGGATAATCTCCACATGTCTATTTCATAATGTTCTAATCATAAATCTAACGTCCAGAAGCTAAATGCTAACGTGATGCTATAAAGGAACTACAGTGAGTCCAGCAGCACGACTTCAACGTCACGCCGACTTCAGATCCAGATTCAAACACACAGACTCTAGATGGAACGAGTTGAAGCGTTTGTTTGAACACTCCGCAGGAGGCAGGGACTTGCTTTCAAGCAGAACAGAAACTAAGTTAGAGCAGTGTTTACGTGTTCGGCGTAATGACGTACAACGTCCTCCACGACTTCTGTAGTCCTATTCAGCCACTTGGTAACAACCATCGTTTCTCAGGCACGTCAACTCTTCAGAAATCACCAGTGGGGTCACTGCTGATGATTTAATGTCCTAGAACAAAACGTGATCCGTCTCTTCAATGAGTCTCAACCACAGACCTTAGTTCAGCTAGTTTCCTAAACCCTACGGAGAGATCCCATTGGCTCTGAGACGAGGGAACAGGAAGTGGAGAAATGCTGACTCACTTCCTGGTTTTAGGACTCATTCCTGCACCACGCTATTGGTGACCTTTAAAACTCCCTCACCTTGAAGTTTGCGTCGATGAAAGCGCGGCGACCCCAGCAAGTTGTTCTTGAACGAGTTGAGTCTCGTCCTCCAGTGGGCGGAGCTTGAAGCGGCCAATCCCCCGCTGCCTCCCGGGCTGGAGGGCGGAGTCAGAGAAGCCCCGCCCCCTCCTCCTCCGTCCACTCGGGAGGAAGAGGAGGAGGAGGAAGAGGAGGGAGGAGGAGTGTTTGAGGAGGAAGAGGGGTGGTGTTGGATTTGATGCACAGGTGTGCCCAGAGGGGTGGGCAGCGGAGAACCCTGAGGAGTCACCTGAGACACAGGAGGGGAATTAGAAGAGGACGAGGAGGTGTTCTTGGATTTAAAGATGGACGGAGATGGGAAATTAAAGAAGCGAGGAGTGGGGGAGATAATGGGAGAAGGTGAAGGAGAAGGAGAGCGAGGAGAATGGAGGGGGAGGGACTTCATGGAGTGGAAGTGAGGGCGATCTTTGGGGTTTTTTGAGGGCAGGGTTTGGGTTTTTGGGTCTGGTTTTAGACGGATGGTAGGAGTGGTGGTGGTGGAAGGTCCTGGTTTGGGGTCTGGTTTGGAGGAGGAAGCTGAGGCGACTTCTGATTGGCTGAAAGTGAACACCGGGCTCTGATGGGACAGACAGAGAAGATGGAGAAGAGATGGAGAGATGAGAGAAAGATATGGTTATGAGTTATGGTTCATGGAAAGGATTCATTAACAACCCCAAATCAGAAAGGAAAAGATGGTGATCTGTTAGAGTGGTGCAGGGATGTTGCATGATTCACATGACTTCACGTCACCACCGCTAAGCTAAAGGTGGCTAATGTTGGGCTATGAAGGAACTACAGCACGGTCACATGACTTCACGTCACCACCGCTAAGCTAAAGGAGGCTAATGTTGGGCTATAAAGGAACTACAGCACGGTCACATGACTTCCCGTCACCACCGCTAAGCTAAAGGAGGCTAATGTTGGGCTATAAAGGAACTACAGCACAGTCACATGACTTCCCGTCACCACTGCTAAGCTAAAGGAGGCTAATGTTGGGCTATAAAGGAACTACAGCACGGTCACATGACTTCACGTCACCACCGCTAAGCTAAAGGAGGCTAATGTTGGGCTATGAAGGAACTACAGCACGGTCACATGACTTCACGTCACCACCGCTAAGCTAAAGGAGGCTAATGTTGGGCTATAAAGAAACTACAGCACGGTCACATGACTTCCCGTCACCACCGCTAAGCTAAAGGAGGCTAATGTTGGGCTATGAAGGAACTACAGCACGGTCACATGACTTCCCGTCACCACCGCTAAGCTAAAGGAGGCTAATGTTGGGCTATGAAGGAACTACAGCACGGTCACATGACTTCCCGTCACCACCGCTAAGCTAAAGGAGGCTAATGTTGGGCTATAAAGGAACTACAGCACGGTCACATGACTTCCCGTCACCACCGCTAAGCTAAAGGAGGCTAATGTTGGGCTATAAAGGAACTACAGCACGGTCACATGACTTCACGTCACCACCGCTAAGCTAAAGGCGGCTAATGTTGGGCTATAAAGGAACTACAGCACGGTCACATGACTTCACATCACCACCGCTAAGCTAAAGGAGGCTAATGTTGGGCTATGAAGGAACTACAGCACGGTCACATGACTTCCCGTCACCACCGCTAAGCTAAAGGAGGCTAATGTTGGGCTATAAAGGAACTACAGCACGGTCACATGACTTCACGTCACCACCACTAAGCTAAAGGAGGCTAATGTTGGGCTATAAAGGAACTACAGCACGGTCACATGACTTCCCGTCACCACCGCTAAGCTAAAGGAGGCTAATGTTGGGCTATAAAGAAACTACAGCACGGTCACATGACTTCACGTCACCACCGCTAAGCTAAAGGAGGCTAATGTTGGGCTATAAAGGAACTACAGCACGGTCACATGACTTCACGTCACCACCGCTAAGCTAAAGGCGGCTAATGTTGGGCTATAAAGGAACTACAGCACGGTCACATGACTTCACATCACCACCGCTAAGCTAAAGGAGGCTAATGTTGGGCTATGAAGGAACTACAGCACGGTCACATGACTTCCCGTCACCACCGCTAAGCTAAAGGAGGCTAATGTTGGGCTATAAAGGAACTACAGCACGGTCACATGACTTCACGTCACCACCACTAAGCTAAAGGAGGCTAATGTTGGGCTATAAGGAACTACAGCACGGTCACATGACTTCCCGTCACCACCGCTAAGCTAAAGGAGGCTAATGTTGGGCTATAAAGAAACTACAGCACGGTCACATGACTTCACATCACCACCGCTAAGTTAAAGGAGGCTAATGTTGGGCTATAAAGGAACTACAGCACGGTCACATGACTTCACGTCACCACCGCTAAGCTAAAGGCGGCTAATGTTGGGCTATAAAGAAACTACAGCACGGTCACATGACTTCACGTCACCACCGCTAAGCTAAAGGAGGCTAATGTTGGGCTATAAAGGAACTACAGCACGGTCACATGACTTCACGTCACCACCGCTAAGCTAAAGGCGGCTAATGTTGGGCTATAAAGGAACTACAGCACGGTCACATGACTTCACATCACCACCGCTAAGCTAAAGGAGGCTAATGTTGGGCTATGAAGGAACTACAGCACGGTCACATGACTTCCCGTCACCACCGCTAAGCTAAAGGCGGCTAATGTTGGGCTATAAAGAAACTACAGTGATGAAATAATGACTCATTTACAGGTTTTATGACCCATTCCTGCACCATCTATTCTGGGGTGTTGTTATGTTTGTGTTATGTCATCAGGCACACACAGACTTTAGTATGAGGCAGCATGGTGTGTTCATGAAATGGTAATGTGTGTATAACTGAGGATGAAAAGCATAGCAAGCAACAACAGTCTGAGCAGAGGTTATCAGAAGAAAACAAAAAACAGCATCACAGGAAATTTGTTTTGTTTCCTCTGATGACCAAAACTGATATGTATATATTGAATTTACAGATAATATTTACAAGTTGATTATATACAGTACATCTGACATCTGGAAGTGTATTAAGTCTACAACACTGCAGAGAGATAACAAATACTGATCGACTGCAACTGATAAACAAACACTGTCTGCCTCTTGGAAAACAAGTTCAAAGATAAGTCTGGGAATATTCTATTTTTTTTACCGAGACCAATACGAAGCAAAGACTCTTTGACTCCTATGTAGGGTTGGGTATCGTTTGAATTTCCACGATTCTGATTCCGATTCTACTTTTCGATTCCGGTTCTTAACGGTTCTCAATTCCGATTCTTTGAGGGCAGGGTACAAAAATGATACATGCTTCTTCCACCAAAAAGATTACATTTACTCGAGAAACTTTTACACAGGTTAGTTTACAGTAATATTCACATGGATCAGTTTATATTCACTGCTATGTAACCTGAGAACCACTGAAGCTACAACAGTGCAACTTTTAAAGGAACCCCCCCCCCCCCATTTAAAAACAGTTCTTGTTGAGAAAAACAAGCGTACCTGCCTCTCAGGCAAACCGGGAAGAAATGTTTGAACATTTTAAAGTAAAATGCTTCAATCTGGTGCACTTTAAGCAGAATGACTAGAGACTAGATCTGGGGGGTACAACTCTAAACACCCATATGAAAAAGATCGGTTTACATTTTAATAATTAAATAAGTATGTGAGCATAACCAGTAACCCATAGCCAATAACAAATACATTATTTATGCATATTTTTGTATCTCTCCAGTTTAAAACGATATGTCTGGTTTACTGTCCTATAGTATGCATTGGAATGATTTCAAACCTGTTTTATCCCAATAATTATAAAGGAGTGCCTTGGAAATATGTGTTTACATAAATTGTGACCAAACCGTTTGAGACCCACTGAGATAACTTAGACTAAAGTGAACTATCTAAATACTCAGAGTCCTTTACCTCACTGGGCTGTAGTTATCAGCCTCTCAGTCTGACTGGAGAGGACTCTCCCTCCACATCATTGTAGAAACACCTTGTTCTTCCGTTAGAGCAGCTAGCACCAGATGCTAATAACAACAGCGCGTACCGGTGCACCCTCCCTCTCTCACTCGCATTTTAGCTGTGAGCTGCGGGTGCCAGATAAGCCAACATCCCCCATTTTCATCACTTACAGCGCCCATCGTACAGGGGAAATGAAAAGTGTAACCGGGATGAAAAGGGTGTTACATTTACTTAATTATGAATATTGTTACATCAAGGCCGAAAATTAGGATGAGCCCCAACGGTCAAAAATGTTTTTTCCTCCCAGAGCTGTCAGCGCAGCGCCTCCCCAGATCTGGCGCCCTAGGCGAACATCTATAATGCCAGTGCTACGGGCCCGGATGGGCCGGCCCTAGTCTCAGGTTACGCTGTAGGAAGTGTAGGTACAACGCTACATTTCCCGCCCCGCCGCAGTCATACAGTAGGCTACGGAGAGCGGCGAGAAACATTTCCTCAGGCATCGAAAAGCGGAACCGAAATTCACATTTCTAAATGATGCCGTTGGAATCGAAATGTTGGAACTGGTTCCGAACCGGAACCGGTTCTCGGTACCCAACCCTACTCCTATTGAACATCAGTATTTTCCTACAACAACTGCAGTTAAACAGACTTACTTAAACAGCTATATTAATGATTATATGTCTTAATTAAACCCTTCTTTCATGGTAGCAGGGGACATTAACCTTGTGGGTGTAAGGTGCTCATTGTGTTCCCAGACAGCAGGTTGAACACTGTTTTTCTCTATGATAATAAACCCTAATGAAGCAAGGAAGTAATGAGCTGTTTTCTACAGGTGAGTGAAGTCTTACCCTGGGACTGCTCAGAGGACTGGAGCACAGACCTGTCGACGCTCCACTGACTGAACGGGACCTTTGGAAGAAAGGAAGAAACAATGAAGAGTCATCAAGGTTTCAGAAAATTCAATGCACTTTTTTCAAAAAAAATAAAAAAAATTCTCAGAATTCCACTTTTTTCTCAGATTGTTCACTTTTTCCCCGGAATGTATATTTTTCAGAATGTCACTTTTTTTGTAAATTGTTAATTTCACTTTTTTCCTCAGAATTTCACTTTTTTCACAAAATCATTTTTTTCTTAAAACTTTTAACATTTTTCTCAAAATGTCACTTTTGTTTCAGAATTTAACTTTTTATGAGAATGTCTTAATTTTCTCAGAATGTATGGAGGGAACCAGGAAGATGCTGCCTTCAGGTTCCAACACAAAAATACGACATCCCTGCAAACATAAAATAACATAGAAGAACCTGCCCTGATGTGTTATCTCACCTCTGGCTGTGTGCATTAGAGTCCAGAGCCCTGCGAGGCGGGGTGGGAGACCCCTGATCTGTGACGCTCAGGACCTCCAGGCTCTTTCTCTCTGGACGACAGCGGCCATGACGCGTCAGCATGGGCGAGTCCACACGCTTCCTGGGGGGGTCTGAAGATAAGATCAGATCAGATAAGATAAGAAGTACTTTATTGATCCCAATTTGGGACATGTTTGTGTTGCAGCAGCATAAAAAGACAAGGCATTGTACAATACAAATGAAAAAGACTAGAAATAAACAAAAAAGTAGAAAATATACATGTTGAATTTACAAATGAACAATAACAAGATATAAAGCAAATTATTATATATACATACTAGGGCTGTCAAACGATTACAATTTTTAATCAGATTAATCACAGCTTAAAAATTAATTAATCAGATTAATCGCCATTCGAACTATGTCTAAAATATGCCATTTATTTATGTACATTGTTGTGGGAATGGAAAGATGAATGGAAGAAGGCGGATATATCCATTTAACATACAGTATCTATGTTTATTATAACATTGTTCTGTGTGTCAAAATGAAAGACTGCCCACACACCTATCAATCATCAAACCGTTGAGTCTTAATTCATTACGTGTTGATTTCTATCAACGGGGGAGTACTTCAGGAAAGTCGACGGGGGGGGGGGGGGGGGGGGGCTAGTGGAGTACTTCGTGACCACAGAGTGTGAACGTTGTGATCAGCTGTTTTAGCGCAGTTCTCCAGTGAAGGGGGGGGGAGTCTCCCTCCGCAGCCGGGTGGCATAGTTTTTTGGCACAATTGCGTTGTACAGACCGACGTTAACAGCAGCCCTGTCTGTGCACACGGAGACCGACTGTCGTCCGGTGATCTAACCGCCTTCTGGAAAAGCTTCACAAGTACGTCGGTACGCAAATGCGCTTTGTGACACAAGTGACGGTACGCATTTCAGATTACGCACATAACCTGCGTACCAGTTATGTGTTACCTGTACTACAGCAAAAGTATTCTCCGTCGGGACTTCCTGCAACAACACCACGCCGTTATCTTGATTCTGATTGGCCAGAAGACATTATCAAAGATGTTCTATTGAGAAGATGATCACTACGTGACAAAAGTTTTCAAAACCGTTTCTGGTCTTCGGTATTTCCAGACAAGTGGCTGAAATCAATCTGACTAACTGCTGTCTGTGCAATTTACTCCGCGCCAGTTGGCGACTTTATTTGGGGCTAAGCCATTTCTTGGTATGGGTGTAGCCTACCCCAGCCATACCCTGGCGCTGCCTCTGGTGGGATGTATGGGGCGGGCCATTCTGCACATGCGTTAAATGCGTTAAATATTTTAACGCAATTAATTAAAAAAATTAATTACCGCCGTTAACGCGATAATTTTGACAGCATTAATATATACGTATGTGAGGGATGGAATATTAAATATTAAACTGAATATATAAATGTAGAATGTACAGTGAGATTTTAAGTACAAGAGAAACTATGGAGATAAATAATGTATTTATTAATATTATGTATGTGGGGGAAACTTCTGAAGCAATGGAGAGTCAGGACTCAGAGAGACACGAGGAGAGCTGGAGCTTTGATGGAGTCAGGACTCAGAGAGACACGAGGAGAGCTGGAGCTTTGATGGAGTCAGGACTCAAAGAGACACGAGGAGAGCTGGAGCTCTGATGGAGTCAGGACTCAGAGAGACACGAGGAGAGCTGGAGCTTTGATGGAGTCAGGAATCAGAGACACGAGGAGAGCTGGAGCTTTGAAGGAGTCAGGACTCAGAGAGACACGAGGAGAGCTGGAGCTTTGATGGAGTCAGGACTCAGAGAGACACGAGGAGAGCTGGAGCTCTGATGGAGTCAGGACTCAGAGAGACACGAGGAGAGCTGGAGCTTTGATGGAGTCAGGACTCAGAGAGACACGAGGAGATCTGGAGCTCTGATGGAGTCAGGACTCAGAGACACGAGGAGAGCTGGAGCTCTGATGGAGTCAGGACTCAGAGAGACACGAGGAGAGCTGGAGCTCTGATGGAGTCAGGACTCAGAGACACGAGGAGAGCTGGAGCTCTGATGGAGTCAGGACTCAGAGAGACACGAGGAGAGCTGGAGCTTTGATGGAGTCAGGACTCAGAGAGACACGAGGAGAGCTGGAGCTCTGATGGAGTCAGGACTCAGAGAGACACGAGGAGAGCTGGAGCTTTGATGGAGTCAGGACTCAGAGACACGAGGAGAGCTGGAGCTCTGATGGAGTCAGGACTCAGAGACACGAGGAGAGCTGGAGCTCTGATGGAGTCAGGACTCAGAGAGACACGAGGAGAGCTGGAGCTTTGATGGAGTCAGGACTCAGAGACACGAGGAGAGCTGGAGCTCTGATGGAGTCAGGACTCAGAGAGAGACGAGGAGAGCTGGAGCTCTGATGGAGTCAGGACTCAGAGACACGAGGAGAGCTGGAGCTTTGATGGAGTCAGGACTCAGAGACACGAGGAGAGCTGGAGCTCTGATGGAGTCAGGACTCAGAGAGACACGAGGAGAGCTGGAGCTCTGATGGAGTCAGGACTCAGAGAGACACGAGGAGAGCTGGAGCTCTGATGGAGTCAGGACTCAGAGAGACATGAGGAGAGCTGGAGCTTTGATGGAGTCAGGACTCAGAGAGACATGAGGAGAGCTGGAGCTCTGATGGAGTCAGGACTCAGAGAGACATGAGGAGAGCTGGAGCTCTGATGGAGTCAGGACTCAGAGAGACATGAGGAGAGCTGGAGCTCTGATGGAGTCAGGACTCAGAGAGACACGAGGAGAGCTGGAGCTTTGATGGAGTCAGGACTCAGAGAGACACGAGGAGAGCTGGAGCTCTGATGGAGTCAGGACTCAGAGACACGAGGAGAGCTGGAGCTCTGATGGAGTCAGGACTCAGAGAGACACGAGGAGAGCTGGAGCTTTGATGGAGTCAGGACTCAGAGAGACACGAGGAGAGCTGGAGCTCTGATGGAGTCAGGACTCAGAGACACGAGGAGAGCTGGAGCTCTGATGGAGTCAGGACTCAGAGAGACACGAGGAGAGCTGGAGCTTTGATGGAGTCAGGACTCAGAGACACGAGGAGAGCTGGAGCTCTGATGGAGTCAGGACTCAGAGACACGAGGAGAGCTGGAGCTTTGATGGAGTCAGGACTCAGAGAGACACGAGGAGAGCTGGAGCTCTGATGGAGTCAGGACTCAGAGAGACACGAGGAGAGCTGGAGCTCTGATGGAGTCAGGACTCAGAGAGACATGAGGAGAGCTGGAGCTCTGATGGAGTCAGGACTCAGAGAGACACGAGGAGAGCTGGAGCTCTGATGGAGTCAGGACTCAGAGAGACACGAGGAGAGCTGGAGCTTTGATGGAGTCAGGACTCAGAGACACGAGGAGAGCTGGAGCTTTGAAGGAGTCAGGACTCAGAGAGACACGAGGAGAGCTGGAGCTTTGATGGAGTCAGGACTCAGAGAGACACGAGGAGAGCTGGAGCTCTGATGGAGTCAGGACTCAGAGAGACACGAGGAGAGCTGGAGCTTTGATGGAGTCAGGACTCAGAGAGACACGAGGAGAGCTGGAGCTCTGATGGAGTCAGGACTCAGAGACACGAGGAGAGCTGGAGCTCTGATGGAGTCAGGACTCAGAGAGACACGAGGAGAGCTGGAGCTTTGATGGAGTCAGGACTCAGAGAGACACGAGGAGAGCTGGAGCTCTGATGGAGTCAGGACTCAGAGACACGAGGAGAGCTGGAGCTCTGATGGAGTCAGGACTCAGAGAGACACGAGGAGAGCTGGAGCTTTGATGGAGTCAGGACTCAGAGACACGAGGAGAGCTGGAGCTCTGATGGAGTCAGGACTCAGAGAGAGACGAGGAGAGCTGGAGCTCTGATGGAGTCAGGACTCAGAGACACGAGGAGAGCTGGAGCTTTGATGGAGTCAGGACTCAGAGAGACACGAGGAGAGCTGGAGCTCTGATGGAGTCAGGACTCAGAGAGACACGAGGAGAGCTGGAGCTCTGATGGAGTCAGGACTCAGAGACACGAGGAGAGCTGGAGCTCTGATGGAGTCAGGACTCAGAGAGACACGAGGAGAGCTGGAGCTCTGATGGAGTCAGGACTCAGAGAGACATGAGGAGAGCTGGAGCTCTGATGGAGTCAGGACTCAGAGAGACACGAGGAGAGCTGGAGCTCTGATGGAGTCAGGACTCAGAGAGACACGAGGAGAGCTGGAGCTCTGATGGAGTCAGGACTCAGAGAGACACGAGGAGAGCTGGAGCTCTGATGGAGTCAGGACTCAGAGAGACACGAGGAGAGCTGGAGCTCTGATGGAGTCAGGACTCAGAGAGACACGAGGAGAGCTGGAGCTCTGATGGAGTCAGGACTCTGATGCGGCTTTCACACCAGCGCTTTTCCCTTTCTAGCTCCGAGCTAGAGCTTTTCTGGTTCAGCTCCGGTTTCCCTTTTCTGCTCCCGCTCTGTTCACACCGCCCAGAGCCCGACTGGTGCTGCCGCTGCTGCGTCATGACGTCACCGTTTACATCGCTGATTTGCTCCCCAACGGCATTACGGCGCTCACAACAACAACAACAACGACAACAACAACAACAACAACAACGGGGAACTGCGTCGGGTCGATGATCGTGTTGCTTTTAATCACACGAAGCCAGAATAAATTGAATAACGACTTCTCCAACCTTATACTTTGCTCCAGAGTGCCGTGGTTCATTGTTTATTAATGTGTTTCTGCAGCATTTACCGACCGCAGCAGTGTTGGCTGCTCTTCCACGGGAGTTTATTCTCCTCCGTTAGCTCCCGGTTAGCTCACACTGCAGCGGCCGCTCTAAAGTATTCACTGTCCGACTCACACAAGCAGCTGATACATATCCCCAGCTCCCCTTAGCCTAAGTGAATGTGTGTCAGTCTGAATTGACGCTGTTTGCTATCACAACGCTGTTATGAAAGTTTCTCTGGTATAAAATGGGTGATGTTAGCATAGCAACCGAAGCTAAACTGACTACTTGCTATTGCTATCCTATTGTGGCATAAACCGTTTTCTACAGGCACATTTTACCGGCGTATTTTTATTATGATTCTACTTGTGATAGTCGGACACGACAACCTGTGCAGCCCATGTATTGATTCCATCCGATAGCTGCTATAATACAAAACAACACGTCTGCCTCTCTCCACAATGATCAATAACAGTGAACGGATGGTCAAAGTAAGGTACAAATAAACAGAATCACACGAAGCCTGGTTAGTGTTGCCTGACTTTATAAAGTGTGTTTATAAGCACTACTGCTTGTAGGCAGGCATGACAGTCGACCCATGTTCAGGGGAGGAGGGTTTAGTTTCCTGCACGCCTCGACGTAAGCGACCATTTTTTGGAGCTGGAAGTGAACTGGATTCCGGAGCTAAGAGGCGGCGCCGCTGCGGTGTGAACAGGAAAAAACGACACTCCGAGCCGGAGCTGAAAACGCGTTGGTGTGAAAGGGGCAAGAGAGACACGAGGAGAGCTGGAGCTTTGATGGAGTCAGGACTCAGAGAGACACGAGGAGAGCTGGAGCTCTGATGGAGTCAGGACTCAGAGAGACACGAGGAGAGCTGGAGCTCTGATGGAGTCAGGACTCAGAGAGATACGAGGAGAGCTGGAGCTTTGATGGAGTCAGGACTCAGAGAGATACGAGGAGAGCTGGAGCTTTGAAGGAGTCAGGACTCAGAGAGACACGAGGAGAGCTGGAGCTTTGATGGAGTCAGGACTCAGAGAGACACGAGGAGAGCTGGAGCTTTGAAGGAGTCAGGACTCAGAGAGACACGAGGAGAGCTGGAGCTTTGATGGAGTCAGGACTCAGAGAGACACGAGGAGAGCTGGAGCTTTGATGGAGTCAGGACTCAGAGAGACACGAGGAGAGCTGGAGCTTTGAAGGAGTCAGGACTCAGAGAGACACGAGGAGAGCTGGAGCTTTGATGGAGTCAGGACTCAGAGAGACACGAGGAGAGCTGGAGCTTTGAAGGAGTCAGGACTCAGAGAGACACGAGGAGAGCTGGAGCTTTGATGGAGTCAGGACTCAGAGAGACACGAGGAGAGCTGGAGCTTTGATGGAGTCAGGACTCAGAGAGACACGAGGAGAGCTGGAGCTTTGAAGGAGTCAGGACTCAGAGAGAGACGAGGAGAGCTGGAGCTCTGATGGAGTCAGGACTCAGAGACACGAGGAGAGCTGGAGCTCTGATGGAGTCAGGACTCAGAGAGAGACACGAGGAGAGCTGGAGCTTTGAAGGAGTCAGGACTCAGAGAGAGACGAGGAGAGCTGGAGCTTTGATGGAGTCAGGACTCAGAGAGACACGAGGAGAGCTGGAGCTTTGAAGGAGTCAGGACTCAGAGAGAGACGAGGAGAGCTGGAGCTCTGATGGAGTCAGGACTCAGAGAGACACGAGGAGAGCTGGAGCTCTGATGGAGTCAGGACTCAGAGAGACACGAGGAGAGCTGGAGCTTTGATGGAGTCAGGACTCAGAGACACGAGGAGAGCTGGAGCTTTGATGGAGTCAGGACTCAGAGAGACACGAGGAGAGCTGGAGCTCTGATGGAGTCAGGACTCAGAGAGACACGAGGAGAGCTGGAGCTTTGAAGGAGTCAGGACTCAGAGAGACACGAGGAGAGCTGGAGCTTTGATGGAGTCAGGACTCAGAGAGAGACGAGGAGAGCTGGAGCTTTGAAGGAGTCAGGACTCAGAGAGACACGAGGAGAGCTGGAGCTCTGATGGAGTCAGGACTCAGAGAGACACGAGGAGAGCTGGAGCTTTGAAGGAGTCAGGACTCAGAGAGACACGAGGAGAGCTGGAGCTCTGATAGCAAACACTGACGGTTTATTTGGAGCTTCGGCCGGAGAATTCACAAGACATGTCACGGGCCACGGTCTGACCACACGGTTGAGATGCCAAATCAATTCTGAAGACCCCTCCTGTAGCTCCAGGTTTAACTAGTTCAGAGTGTAATAATCAACATTCTTCAATATTTAGACTAAACAGCTGAGGACACTGAATCACATTGTTGTCTCTTACGGCTCGGGGTCATCTGCGCCCGAGAAGGATGTGTTCCAGGTGTCCCACAACAATCACTATCTCTGACCGAGAGCTGCCCGCTCACAAACTGGTAACAACAGCAACTTGCTAGGGCAGCCCCTCCTTATGGGAGATAACGGCTGCTCAAGGTGGGGCATCTGCGTCAGAGGGTGAAGGAGGACATGCAGGGCAAATTATTCCCTGACAAAGTATACATTAATTGTGCAAGGAATGGATTATTAAAAAGAAGGACAACATTTCACATCATCAGAAGGTCATAGAGCAGGTTTCAGTATAAGTTTCAGTCATAAGAGCTGTTTGAAATCAAACTCTATTTCATAGCGGGCAACATTAGAATTTTGGTTGCACTTTTTTGGTCACTTCAAGACTATACATATATAAATATATAATATATATAAAATAATGTATTATATTACATTATTGCCTCCGACCTCCTAATCCCAATGTAAATTGAACGCAGCATAATATTATTTAATGTTTCACTTTTTTTTTCTGAGGAATTCACATTTTTTCACAATTTCACTTTTTTCTTGAAATTTACTTTTTCCTACAAATTTCACTTTATCCTCAACATTTCACTTTTATCAGAATTATGACTTTTGTCTATTTTGATATTTTCTCACAATTTAATTTGTTTCGCTACATTTTTCACATAATTTCACTTTTATCACTTTCTTCACAAAATTTCACTTTTTTCTCAAAATAAAAATGTTTTCTCTAAATTACCATATCTTCTCAATTTTCTTAGAATTTTTATTTCATAATTTGACTTTTTTGTCCCATAATTTCACTTATTTTCTCAAAATGTCACTTTTATCAGAATTATGACTTTTTTCTCAGAATTTTGAAATGTTCTCACAATTAAATGTTTTCGCTAAATTTTGTATTTTTCACACAATTTCACTTTTTTCTCAGAATTTCCCTTTTTTTCTTAAAATGTTGACTTTTTCTAACATAATTTCACTTTTTTCTCAAATTGCCACTTGTTTCTCAGAATTTCACATTTTGGTAAATAGGACTCAGTATAATATAATTGAATGTTGTTACCGAGGTCGTTCCTGGCGGGCAGATCCTCGTCCTCACAGCTGGGATATCTTTCCTTCCTGTCGAACAGGAGGTAGTAGATCATCTTCTCCTGGTTCTCCCTGAAGAACAGAAAGAGAGACAGAAACCAGAGAGACAGAAACCAGAGAGACAGAAACCAGAGAGACGGAAACCAGAGAGACAGAAACCAGAGAGACAGAAACCAGAGAGACAGAAACCAGAGAGACAGAAACCAGAGAGACAGAAACCAGAGAGACGGAAACCAGAGAGACGGAAACCAGAGAGACGGAAACCAGAGAGACAGAAACCAGAGAGACAGAAACCAGAGAGACAGAAACCAGAGGGACAGAAACCAGAGAGACAGAAACCAGAGAGACAGAAACCAGAGAGACAGAAACCAGAGAGACAGAAACCAGAGGGACAGAAACCAGAGAGACAGAACCAGAGAGACAGAAACCAGAGAGACAGAAACCAGAGAGACAGAAACCAGAGAGAAATAGATGGACAGAAACCAGAGAGACAGAAACCAGAGAGACAGAAACCAGAGAGACAGAAACCAGAGGGACAGAAACCAGAGAGACAGAAACCAGAGAGACAGAAACCAGAGAGACAGAAACCAGAGGGACAGAAACCAGAGAGACAGAAACCAGAGAGACGGAAACCAGAGAGACAGAAACAAGAGAGACGGAAACCAGAGAGACAGAAACAAGAGAGACAGAAACCAGAGAGACAGAAACCAGAGAGACAGAAACCAGAGAGACAGAAACCAGAGAGACAAAACCAAAGAGACAGAAACCAGAGAGACAGAAACCAGAGAGACAGAAACCAGAGAGACAGAAACCAGAGAGACAGAAACCAGAGAGACAAAACCAAAGAGACAGAAACCAGAGAGACAGAAACCAGAGAGACAGAAACCAAAGAGACAGAAACCAGAGAGACAGAAACCAGAGAGACAGAAACCAGAGAGACAGAAACCAGAGGGACAGAAACCAGAGAGACAGAAACAAGGTTAGAAAGAGAGGAGACAGTCTTTACTTTATAGAGATGTCATATTTATTTACAAGAGCTACCGCGACAAAATTTGACTTGTTTCTCAAAATTCACTTTTTTTTCAAAATGTCACTTTTTTAGAATCATGACCTTTTCCCAAGAATTCTGTAATTGTTCTCACAATTTGACTTTTTTCTCACAATTTGACTTTTTTCTCACAATTTGACTTTTTTCTCACAATTTGACTTTTTTCTCACAATTTGACTTTTTTTTAAAAGAATTTCACTTTTTAAAAATCATGACATTTTTCCCAGAATTCTGTCATTTTTCTCAAAATGTGACTTATTTCTCAGAATTCACTTTTTCGCATGGAAATACAGTAGTACAGTACTTGAGTAAATCTACTTAGTTACTTCCCTCCTCTGAGTTTAATGGATGTCTTATATTGGTGTGTGGTGGTGTTTGTACTCACTCCTCACTTGTAAGGTCCTGAGTGAGCTTCACCCGGTCTCTGAAGCACCCTAAGGAGAACATGCTCTCCAGAACATCAGGGTCCAGGTCTGATAACGAGGCGATCCTCTTCACACACACCCTGCGGGGGGGCGGCTGCTCCGGACACGGCTCGTTACGACCCCCCCTGAAGGGAAGAAGAAGAAGTTACAAACGTTAGAAATAGGGGGAAAATGCAAATGTTATGACTGGGATATGAGAAGGAATTAAACATTTGTTCCACTATCAATAAAATATATAATTAATTGATCATGGTGTGTTTGTTTGAAAAGAGAATTAACAATTCCAAATCAAATGGAAAAATGAACAAATATGATATCAAATATAAACAAAACAATATATAATATTCTGGATAATTAAAATAAAAAGTCAAAAATACAACAGGATCAAAAATACTGCTGGTATTTTATATATATATAAATAGGGGAACAATAACCAATTTCAGATGTTATGACTGATATTGCAATTGGGATATGAGAAGAAGTTAATCATGTTTTCCATTATCATTTAAATATATATTGAATTGATCATGGTGTAGTTTTTTTTTAAGAGGATCCGTACCATTATTAGGTCTGTAGAAGTCCATAATGTGGTTTCTATATCATGTCAATTAACTGTGCAGCCCTCTACCCCAGTGCTTCTCAAAGTGTGGTCCGTGAGCGCCCCCTAGTGGTCCGTGAGTATATTGGTAACATTTCACATTTGAAATAAATAAATACATTTTAGTTTTCCGCACTCTCGCGGGAATATCTCCGCAATGGAGCGAGCTTAAGTCTCACTTTTGATTGCATGATATAGCCCAGCGCAACACCTTCGTCACACATGTTGCCACTTGTTTGTACCATTTTCAGGCGATTTGTAATCTGTTCTAGAAAAACGATGTGTTTTTTGATATTTGTGGAGGTGGTCCGCGAGTGTTTTTGTATTGGTTAAGTGTCCTTGGTATGAAAAAGTTTGAGAAACACTGCTCTACCCTATTATAGTTTGCAGTGAGAATTGACAACATTACACGGGTTTACACAAACAAAAATACTACAAACCACCAAAGACTACTTATGATTGGCATTAGCCGTTAGCTTGGAGTTGCTCTTTGTAGTACGTATGGAAAAGTACTCAAATACTGATAAAGGTTTGGGTGGAAGAGGGAAGGTGGAGAGGAGACGTGTATGTGATACTTACTGGTACCAGGAGTGTTTCTGTATTGCTTCTAGCTGTAGAAACACAAATAAAAGAAAATATTACAGCACGGATAAAAACATCTGATCCCATGTTTTCACCTCATTTTGGACTAAAATGCTGCTTCTAGAAAGAGGAAGCATCTCTGAACAACTGAGCACTTTGTCCTGAACACTAGTCTAAGTGAAGGGGAGCCAGGGCTGTTCTCCTGTTTTCACTTTTAGAACTAGGGTTTTCATTTCATAGCCCCACTCTCCATTGTTGTTCAAGGTCACCTATCGTGCTCTTTGTAGGCAACAGGTCTCAGATATATACAAATATATAAAAAACATGTCTATGAAGTGTTTTGCTCAAAACACCAAACAGATAATTCTAGCCACGCCTCATATCCCTCTATTTCACTTCCTGTTTCTAAAGTGCTGATCTGGGTATAAAGCTTTAAAGAGGAGGGTCTGAGCTCATGCGGGACCCGGCAGCTACTGTCTAAACTAAATGCTGCCGTGATGAAACGCCATATCATGGATTATCAAGGATTCTCTCTGAAACAGTTTGGAGCTCAAAGGCTTTCTTTCTCAGGTTATACCACAAGGTGAGTTCCTTTTTACTTCCTGCTTCTTCACACACATGCTCTCTAGTACAGGTTAGCTCTGAGTGTTAGCGATGCTAATGCAAACACCGACCATATTACGTCCAAAACAGTCGGGCATTGTTTCTGATAGCAACGTTTCTGATTGGCCCGGGTCCACATTTCAGATATTACGTCATATCGGACGCAAATCTGGATCAGCTCCGTTGTTCCCCGTTTTTAGAGATTTGGGTACGGAGGAAAAGAGAGAGGGTTTTATTTCCTGACGCTGCGTGAGTTCCCCGACACACCGGGGACACATTGATGTAGAAAAGACATCACAAAGTGACTCTTGCATGATAGGTCCCCTTTAATGTTGAAAACTCAACTTGTATTTGTCTTTTAACTGATTTAAATGCGGAAACTGGGGTTATTCATCAGAATGTCGTATGACTTGACTTGCTTGACTCTCACCACAGTGACTTGAGACTTGCACATGTATGACTTACTCCCACCAGGGTTCCTGCAGGTTTCACCAACTCAAATGTAAGACTTTTTAAGACCACTTTGAATAGAATTTAAGCCCTATTTCACGGCAAGAAACTATGAAGGAAAATTGCTATGAAAGAAGAAATACGTCCCATAATTACTTTGCAGCCCGGATATTTCCCCCAAAACACATTTACACGTGATCGCAACACAGAAGTACCTTTCAGATCCGATCATTTTTAAGACCTTCTAAATCATATTTAAGACTTTTTAAGACCCCGCGGGAACCCTGTCCCACCTCTGGTACACAGTATTAAATAGAAACTATTTTCAGTCATTGTATCCTTTGTGAATGAACGTCGAAGCTCTTGTGAAGCCCTGCAGTCCTACATGCTACTACGTCTCCTCTCTGCTTCAGGACTGCTAACAGGATCAGCTGCAGGTCTGCGTGCAGGAAGTTAAAGAGTTCCTGCTGTGAACACTTTGAGCTGAGAGGAAACCAGAAAACAGCCGAGCACACAGAGGCTTTCACTGCATGAACACATCCGTTTCCTGATGAGAAGAAGAGGCAGAAGAGAAGACTCGAACATGGGGACGGTTCCATTTCTACGATACGAGTCTATTATCAGATCAAGTCTGACATTTATCTTTCATCAAAACAGCTCCTTTTGCAGGAACAGATATTAATCATCACATCACTGAGTTTGTAGAAGTACTCAGATCTTGTTCTTGAGTAAAAGTAGAAGTACTCAGATCTTGTACTTGAGTGAAAGTAGAAGTACTCAGATCTTGTTCTTGAGTAAAAGTAGAAGTACTCAGATCTTGTTCTTGAGTAAAAGTAGAAGTACTCAGATCTAGTACTTCAGTAAAAGTAGAAGTACTCAGATCTTGTACTTGAGTAAAAGTAGAAGTACTCAGATCTTGTTCTTGAGTAAAAGTAGAAGTACTCAGATCTAGTACTTCAGTAAAAGTAGAAGTACTCAGATCTTGTTCTTGAGTAAAGTAGAAGTACTCAGATCTTGTTCTTGAGTAAAAGTAGAAGTACTCAGATCTTGGACTTGAGTAAAAGTAGAAGTACTCAGATCTTGTTCTTGAGTAAAAGTAGAAGTACTCAGATCTTGTTCTTGAGTAAAAGTAGAAGTACTCAGATCTTGTTCTTGAGTAAAAGTAGAAGTACTCAGATCTAGTACTTCAGTAAAAGTAGAAGTACTCAGATCTTGTTCGTGAGTAAAAGTAGAAGTACTCAGATCTTGTTCTTGAGTAAAAGTAGAAGTACTCAGATCTTGTACTTCAGTAAAAGTAGAAGTACTCAGATCTTGTTCTTGAGTAAAAGTAGAAGTACTCAGATCTTGTTCTTGAGTAAAAGTAGAAGTACTCAGATCTTGTTCTTGAGTAAAAGTAGAAGTACTCAGATCTTGGACTTGAGTAAAAGTAGAAGTACTCAGATCTTGTTCTTGAGTAAAAGTAGAAGTACTCAGATCTTGTTCTTGAGTAAAAGTAGAAGTACTCAGATCTTGTTCTTGAGTAAAAGTAGAAGTACTCAGATCTAGTACTTCAGTAAAAGTAGAAGTACTCAGATCTTGTTCGTGAGTAAAAGTAGAAGTACTCAGATCTTGTTCTTGAGTAAAAGTAGAAGTACTCAGATCTTGTACTTGAGTAAAAGTAGAAGTACTCAGATCTTGTTCTTGAGTAAAAGTAGAAGTACTCAGATCTAGTACTTCAGTAAAAGTAGAAGTACTCAGATCTTGTACTTGAGTAAAAGTAGAAGTACTCAGATCTTGTTCTTGAGTAAAAGTAGAAGTACTCAGATCTAGTACTTCAGTAAAAGTAGAAGTACTCAGATCTTGTTCTTGAGTAAAAGTAGAAGTACTCAGATCTTGTTCTTGAGTAAAAGTAGAAGTACTCAGATCTTGTACTTGAGTAAAAGTAGAAGTACTCAGATCTTGTTCTTGAGTAAAAGTACTCAGATCTTGGACTTGAGTAAAAGTAGAAGTACTCAGATCTTGTTCTTGAGTAAAAGTAGAAGTACCAGAGTGTAGGAATACTCTGTTACAGTAAAAGTCCTGCATTCAAAATGTTCCTCAAGTTAAAGTAGAAAAGTATTCTCAAAAGTAGAATAACATGGAAATACTAAATTAAAGTACAAGTACCTCTAAATTGTAATTAAGTACAGTACTTTAGTAAATGTACTTAGTTACTTTACACCACTGATCAAATAACTTGTTCAAGACCCTCCAACGTACATTTGACCTGGGATTTAACTTTGTATTTAATTAAGGATTGCCTCGTGCCTAAACTAGTGCTCACTAGCTGCAGATACTTGTATGTGTGTGATGGAGTGTAGAGACAGAGACAGTGTGACCTGGTTTCAGCTCCATTAATCAGCAGCTCATCAGACGAAGCTTTGATTAAATCTGTGTTCGCTTCACGACTAACTGACCGCTTTCTGTCTGTCTGCAGATTCTGAACAACCTCCTCTCATCACAGGAAGAGCCATTCATTCAGCAGAGCTGGGAAGTAGTGGAGTACAAATACTTTGTTACTGTACTTAAGTACATGTTTCTGGTATCAGTACTTTACTCCACTACTTATTTTTCTGACGACTTTTTCCTTTTACTTCTTACATGTTGAACACAAATACCTGTACTTTCTACTTCTCACATGTTGAACACAAATACCTGTACTTTCTACTTCTTACATGTTGAACCCAAATACCTGTACTTTCTACTTCTTACATGTTGAACTCAAATACCTGTACTTTCTACTTCTTACATGTTGAACTCAAATACCTGTACTTTCTACTTCTTACATGTTGAACTCAAATACCTGTACTTTCTACTTCTTACATGTTGAACTCAAATACCTGTACTTTCTACTTCTTACATGTTGAACACAAATACCTGTACTTTCTACTTCTCACATGTTGAACACAAATACCTGTACTTTCTACTTCTCACATGTTGAACACAAATACCTGTACTTTCTACTTCTTACATGTTGAACTCAAATACCTGTACTTTCTACTTCTTACATGTTGAACACAAATACCTGTACTTTCTACTACTCACATGTTGAACACAAATACCTGTACTTTCTACTTCTTACATGTTGAACACAAATACCTGTACTTTCTACTTCTCACATGTTGAACACAAATACCTGTACTTTCTACTTCTTACATGTTGAACTCAAATACCTGTACTTTCTACTTCTTACATGTTGAACACAAATACCTGTACTTTCTACTTCTCACATGTTGAACTCAAATACCTGTACTTTCTACTTCTTACATGTTGAACTCAAATACCTGTACTTTCTACTTCTCACATGTTGAACACAAATACCTGTACTTTCTACTTCTCACATGTTGAACTCAAATACCTGTACTTTCTACTTCTTACATGTTGAACTCAAATACCTGTACTTTCTACTTCTTACATGTTGAACTCAAATACCTGTACTTTCTACTTCTCACATGTTGAACACAAATACCTGTACTTTCTACTTCTCACATGTTGAACTCAAATACCTGTACTTTCTACTTCTTACATGTTGAACACAAATACCTGTACTTTCTACTTCTCACATGTTGAACTCAAATACCTGTACTTTCTACTTCTTACATGTTGAACACAAATACCTGTACTTTCTACTTCTTACATGTTGAACACAAATACCTGTACTTTCTACTTCTTACATGTTGAACACAAATACCTGTACTTTCTACTTCTTACATGTTGAACTCAAATACCTGTACTTTCTACTTCTTACATGTTGAACACAAATACCTGTACTTTCTACTTCTTACATGTTGAACTCAAATACCTGTACTTTCTACTTCTCACATGTTGAACTCAAATACCTGTACTTTCTACTTCTTACATGTTGAACACAAATACCTGTACTTTCTACTTCTTACATGTTGAACTCAAATACCTGTACTTTCTACTTCTTACATGTTGAACACAAATACCTGTACTTTCTACTTCTTACATGTTGAACTCAAATACCTGTACTTTCTACTTCTTACATGTTGAACTCAAATACCTGTACTTTCTACTTCTCACATGTTGAACACAAATACCTGTACTTTCTACTTCTTACATGTTGAACACAAATACCTGTACTTTCTACTTCTTACATGTTGAACACAAATACCTGTACTTTCTACTTCTGAAAGTACATTTCAAAGCCCATAAAGAAGTTTAGTCAGTATTTTTAAACAGAGTATCTGTGCTTCTACCATCCCTTCCTCCCTCCATTGAGTCTGAACTGCTGCCTCTTTTCAAGCCTCCAGGAGTGAAAGCTGGTATTTATGTGAATGGGATGAAAGGTCCTTGCATAATTCCCCCCTCTCAGTGCCTCCATCTGTCTTTACAGCCACTTAAACCCTCCATTCAATCATATTGTACACACATGCATGTATATTTATACTCTCTGCTTCCTCCATCCCAAATGCTCTGAAACATGTGTGTGTAGACTAAGGGTGGTGCAACGTGACTTCTTCCTAAACTACATCCATATGATAACTGAGGCAAATACATTTAAAATACCTGTACATTAAAAACGGTTTCCTTTATTTGAAACAGAGGCCGTCAGGATGCTTCAAACTTCTATAAAGCAACTAAAATGTTTGTCGTCGGGCAGATTTCATATTTTATAAGAGTCTCCAAATAACCTGCTAACTTTCCTTCGAGGACACGAATAATACCTAAGACCCTTTCCTCTGCTCTCTTTCGCTCCTCTCCCTTCAGTTTCTGTCACATCTAGCCTGAGGCTTTTCTCTGCTTCCTCCATCCTAAATGTGTGAAACATGCATTAATGTGCTTTTGAGACTAAAGCTGCGTTCACACCGGGCGCGATACGATGTTTGGGGGCGGCGCGATTACATGTAAAGTCAATGCAGAGACGCGGACAGACACGAATTCGCTCCGACGGCGCGCATGAAGCGGTTGATGCGAATGAAGGGGGCCGCGACAAACGCTCAAGTTCAATTTTTTCAACTCGAGCGTCAAATTCGCATGACACGATCTCGCGGTATCCAATCAGCGGTGAGGATCTCAGCCTGCCGTCAGTGACGTAGAACCACAAAACCAACATCAGCCGTTAGCTCTTAGCACTCAGAGCTCACAGCTCCTCATATCTGTTCAGAAACTAGACAGAAGTTAAACAAGTACAAACCACAGACTGCCTGTGTCATGGCGAATACAGTCGCTGGTTTATTTATGTCTGTAGGTCGTTGTTGTGAGTGTGGACGGTCGGAGCATATATAACGTTAGCTTAGCTTAGCTCCATTTAGAAAACACGCATTTTAAAAGGTGTTTCTCTGCCGTCTGTCTGCAGACTTGTCAAAGCATTAATTCATGGTTTTTACTAACCGGTATCAGTATGTTGTTACTTCGGCATCATTTTGAAACGTGTGTTACAATTAAATCACGGTCAGATATGTTCATCTTGTTGTAGTTGGAGCCCCCTCTCCAGCGCGTCTTGTTTGAATGATGCGAGTAAACACAGCTGGCAGCCGCGGTGAAACTCGAGCGTTTAGAGCGAAGCGAACGCAGCATCAGGTGGTGCAGAGTGACTTGTGGTCTTTTTGCTAAACTACATCATTATGCAGTAACCACGGACAACACGTATCAGTCTGTGTGTTCTACATTGGGGTTTTCTATTAGCTTGTGTTTTAAAATGTTTCTGCATCGTGTATGAGAGTTATCCGTCTGTGTTTATAAGGATGGTTTTATTGTCTCGTGTTTTTACTTTTGTTTCTTTTTGTCCTATCGGTTTGTCTAAATGTATTTATGATGCTTTTTATATATTTATTGATGTACAGCACTTTTTAAATGTGCTGTATAAATACAGTTGTTTTGGAGAGAGCCAGATACATTTACATTTAAAATACTTGTACATTAAACACTGGTTCCTTTTATTTCAAACAGAGGCAATCAAAATGCTTTACATTTCTATAAAGCAGCCAACATGTTTGTCGGCGGGCAGATTTGATCACGTGCAGCTAGGTGGCTAATTTAGCTAACGTTAGTTCCTTGGTTAAGAAGACTGGATCTTTGTGATATTGCAAACTCACACACTATTCACTAACTATAATGTACACTTGAGTAGGAAGTTCCTTCTTATTGATTATAGGGATTTTATGTATGCTAAAAACGTGGTTTCTGTTAGGGAATAATTTGCTTAGGTATTCAACCTCCGACCCAGTTAATCGTTTTCTCCTCTCACTGTCTCCTTTCCCGCGGCATAGGTCTACGGCAGGGGTATTGCTGCTATCTCTCTTTAGGAGGAGCAGCTTGGGCGCATTGTTGTTGCCAGTTTATGACCGAGCCCAAGCCGCCATGAGGTAGTTTATTGTTCAGGGACGAAGGTTCCCTGGCGCACGTGCTTTTCTATGGACGAGAGCTCTAGTTAGATTCAGGCAGTGGCGACTGGTCATTAGGGGCAGGTGGGGCACAGCCCCACCTAGTGTCCACAGAAAGTATTAAAATAATGATTACAACAAAATGCAAAACATTTATTAAAAAATATATAAAATATATTTTAAGATCATGTTTAATCATCTGATTCGTTTCATTGCTGTTTTAGTCTGTGTTCTTCTAATTAGTGTCTACAGTGTGTGCCTGTTGAGCTGTTTAGAGCCATGTGGGACAAAACCCGATCCTGCCCCTCCCTCCCTCTCTCTGTCTAAGTGAACGGTGACTGTAATAACTACACTGCGCATGCTCAGAGTATTTTCCTATTTAATGTGTGTGGCAAAAAATAATGACCATAGGGGCATAGAGCTGCCATCCCCACCATACGTCATCTCACATCATTCAGAGCTGATTGGCTGTAAGTACGTGTGCCGCGAAAAGTGTGGTGTGTGAAGAGGAGACGAGAGAGCTGCAGTGAGGCGTCCTAAAACCAGGAAGTAAGCTGCGCATGGCTTCCCTCCACAAAAAAGCAATGAGATTTCTCCATAGGATTTTAGAAAATAGCTCAAAATAAGATCTGTGGGAAACGTAGCTGTTTGATAAATGTACGTTTTGTTCAGCCGGATAATATCCACATGTCTACCCTACTTTTATCATTTTCGAATCATAAATCCATCATTTAGATTTATGATAGACTTTTGAAACTACAAGAAGATAAGGAGGACTTTTACAAAAAAGTAATAGAGATGTTTGTCCAGAAGGATAGGCAAATGGACTTCATCTTCAAGTCAAGGTAAGACCACCATTTTATTGAAAATGGGATCTTACTAAGAGAGAACAACTCAATATTTAAATGATACAATTACATTTTTTGGGAATCCTTCTGTTGAACTGTCTGTTTAAAATTAATTGAAGCATCAGACTAAAGAGGCTTTTGAAAATAATATTATATTTTGATTTAGGTCAAAATATAATATTTGTAAACCTGAAGAGTCAGAGCCTCACCAGCCATGAACCTCACTGCAGAAGCTTATAGACATCTAAGTTGTTTGTGCCCCACCACTTTTGTATAGAAACGCCACTGGATTCAGGGTCCATAATTGTTTAGTCTCACTGATGAAGAATGTTGATTATTACACTCCGAACTAGTTAAAACCTCGAGCTGCAGAAAGAGTTGTTCAGAATTGGTTTGGCAACCGCTGTGTCAACTCGTGACACACCACCTGTTTTGTAAATTCTCCGGCCGTAACTCCAAATAAACCGTTTGCCATCAGAGCTCCAGCTCTCCTCGTGTCTCTCTGAGTCCTGTTTCCAATTGCTTCAGAAGTTTCCCCCACGGTATTAAAGTACACATATAGATATTTAATTCACGTAACACAATGGTGGTGTTAAAAATAAGCCGCTGATAATTTAATATGGTTATTAAAGCAGTCTGTAATGACTTTCTACCACGAACAATAACGTTGCTATCTAGCTAGCTCACTAAGGGGTTAATGCTACTGCTAAGGTAAACAACCCTACATTAGCATGGTGCTTTAAGCTAACTTTAGCATATCTCCCCCTGAAAATAAACCAGGTTTTGTGTATTTTTGTACTAGGATCAGCTGTTTTGAGCGCACTACTGTGTTCAAATGTAAAGTATGTTGAAAAGCAACTTCAGTACCGGGTGCAAAAAGTAGTTTTTCATAATTTTGTTCCATGATGTTGAAAAAGTGGGTATCCAGAGAGATTTGCAATCATTACATTTCCAATTTTCTCTAGGTAAACATACAGTATATATCCCGAGTATATCTGTTAAAGTACAATGACATTAACAAGTGTTTTAAGAAGTTAATAAGATATAATCTCACCGTGAGTCTCTTGTCAGGATGGACTTCTATCATTCCTTTGAGCAGAGCTTGGCATTCAGGAGGTATAAAGTGAGGCATGTGGAAAACGCCACTCTTCACTTTCTCTAAAAGCTGCCGCAGGTTATCGTGGTCGAAGGGCAAGGCACCCTGAGAGAAGATGGAGACAAAAGAACACATTATGGGATGTTTTGGCAATCATTTATCCATTTACACTATTTAACAACTGTGGTGTTGTAGCTCAAAAGTGTCCTAAACTTAGTTAAAAGCTTAAGGAATGCTCATGAAATTATGTGGAATATTGGTTTTCTGACCAAAAGCAGCAGGTGAATTTAGCCAAAGCAAAAATATTTAACACGTTTAGCAAAGGGAATGAGTAGAGAGGAGCAGGAATGAGTCCTAAAACCTGGGAATGAGTCATCATTTTAGCACTTTACTGTTCCCTTGACTGGATGTTTTACTGAATGTAGATTGTTATTCTGAAATAAGAGCTGTGGTTAACACAAACTGAAGATATTTTAACGTTTTGTTCTTCGACATAATATACATCAGTAAATACCCTACTGGTGAATTTAAAAACGGAGTTCGCTAACAAGTGTCTAAATGAGACGACTAAACGTCATCACACCCAACATTAGCCTCCTTTAGCTTAGCGGTGGTGACGTGAAGTCATGTGACCGTGCTGTAGTTCCTTTATAGCCCAACATTAGCCTCCTTTAGCTTAGCGGTGGTGACGTGAAGTCATGTGACCGTGCTGTAGTTCCTTTATAGCCCAACATTAGCCGCCTTTAGCTTAGCGGTGGTGATGTGAAGTCATGTGACCGTGCTGTAGTTCCTTTATAGCCCAACATTAGCCGCCTTTAGCTTAGCGGTGGTGACGTGAAGTCATGTGACCGTGCTGTAGTTCCTTTATAGCCCAACATTAGCCGCCTTTAGCTTAGTGGTGGTGACGTGAAGTCATGTGACGGTGCTGTAGTTCCTTTATAGCCCAACATTAGCCGCCTTTAGCTTAGTGGTGGTGACGTGAAGTCATGTGACCGTGCTGTAGTTCCTTTATAGCCCAACATTAGCCGGCTTTAGCTTAGCGTGGTGACGTGAAGTCATGTGACCGTGCTGTAGTTCCTTTATAGCCCAACATTAGCCGGCTTTAGCTTAGCGGTGGTGACGTGAAGTCATGTGACCGTGCTGTAGTTCCTTTATAGCCCAACATTAGCCGGCTTTAGCTTAGCGTGGTGACGTGAAGTCATGTGACCGTGCTGTAGTTCCTTTATAGCCCAAAATTAGCCACCTTTAGCTTAGCGGTGGTGACGTGAAGTCATGTGACCGTGCTGTAGTTCCTTTATAGCCCAACATTAGCCTCCTTTAGCTTAGCGGTGTTGAGGTGATGTCATGTGACCGTGCTGTAGTTCCTTTATAGCCCAACATTAGCCGCCTTTAGCTTAGCGGTGGTGACGTGAAGTCATGTGACCGTGCTGTAGTTCCTTTATAGCCCAACATTAGCCTCCTTTAGCTTAGCGGTGGTGACGTGAAGTCATGTGACCGTGCTGTAGTTCCTTTATAGCCCAACATTAGCCTCCTTTAGCTTAGCGGTGGTGATGTGAAGTCATGTGACCGTGCTGTAGTTCCTTTATAGCTCAACATTAGCCTCCTTTAGCTTAGCGGTGGTGACGTGAAGTCATGTGACCGTGCTGTAGTTCCTTTATAGCTCAACATTAGCCTCCTTTAGCTTAGCGGTGGTGACGTGAAGTCATGTGACCGTGCTGTAGTTCCTTTATAGCCCAACATTAGCCGCCTTTAGCTTAGCGGTGGTGACGTGAAGTCATGTGACCGTGCTGTAGTTCCTTTATAGCCCAACATTAGCCGCCTTTAGCTTAGCGGTGGTGACGTGAAGTCATGTGACCGTGCTGTAGTTCCTTTATAGCTCAACATTAGCCTCCTTTAGCTTAGCGGTGGTGACGTGAAGTCATGTGACCGTGCTGTAGTTCCTTTATAGCCCAACATTAGCCGCCTTTAGCTTAGCGGTGGTGACGTGAAGTCATGTGACCGTGCTGTAGTTCCTTTATAGCCCAACATTAGCCGCCTTTAGCTTAGTGGTGGTGACGTGAAGTCATGTGACCGTGCTGTAGTTCCTTTATAGCCCAACATTAGCCGCCTTTAGCTTAGTGGTGGTGACGTGAAGTCATGTGACCGTGCTGTAGTTCCTTTATAGCCCAACATTAGCCGGCTTTAGCTTAGCGTGGTGACGTGAAGTCATGTGACCGTGCTGTAGTTCCTTTATAGCCCAACATTAGCCGGCTTTAGCTTAGTGGTGGTGACGTGAAGTCATGTGACCGTGCTGTAGTTCCTTTATAGCCCAACATTAGCCGGCTTTAGCTTAGCGTGGTGACGTGAAGTCATGTGACCGTGCTGTAGTTCCTTTATAGCCCAAAATTAGCCACCTTTAGCTTAGCGGTGGTGACGTGAAGTCATGTGACCGTGCTGTAGTTCCTTTATAGCCCAACATTAGCCTCCTTTAGCTTAGCGGTGTTGAGGTGATGTCATGTGACCGTGCTGTAGTTCCTTTATAGCCCAACATTAGCCGCCTTTAGCTTAGCGGTGGTGACGTGAAGTCATGTGACCGTGCTGTAGTTCCTTTATAGCCCAACATTAGCCTCCTTTAGCTTAGCGGTGGTGACGTGAAGTCATGTGACCGTGCTGTAGTTCCTTTATAGCCCAACATTAGCCTCCTTTAGCTTAGCGGTGGTGACGTGAAGTCATGTGACCGTGCTGTAGTTCCTTTATAGCTCAACATTAGCCTCCTTTAGCTTAGCGGTGGTGACGTGAAGTCATGTGACCGTGCTGTAGTTCCTTTATAGCTCAACATTAGCCTCCTTTAGCTTAGCGGTGGTGACGTGAAGTCATGTGACCGTGCTGTAGTTCCTTTATAGCTCAACATTAGCCTCCTTTAGCTGACTGAAAGTAAACATATCCTCTTACCACAAGAAGAGCAAAGAGGATGACGCCACAACTCCAAACATCTGCTCTGCGACCATCGTACTTCTCCCCCTGAAACACAAACACAGGTAAGCATACAGACACACACACACACACACACACACACACACACACACACACACACACACACACACACACACACACACACACACACACACTTGGATGTAACTTACTCTTATGACCTCTGGACAGGCGTAATGTGGGGATCTGCAAAGAAAGAAGAGTCTATTGTTAGATTATTTCTCCATATGCAACAACACGCAGAGCGATAACAGCAAACACTGCTCCTTTATTCATGGGATAAACTGAAGAAGGTGAATCAAGAGCGAGAGCTTCAATCCTTTCCTAATTGTATCTGCTCAATCCACCTTCCTCCTGGTGAGCAGACGGTTTAGAAATCTTTAATTAAACTTAGCTAATGATTGTGTGAAACGATAGAGCTTTGAGTGGCTGTTCCTCATGTTCTGTATATCTCATCTCATTAAAACCATGTTCCACTGTTAGGACTTTTTTATACGAAGATGTTGTACACGTTACTTTACACCACTGGGATTAATGTATATATTAAAGGTCACATGTCATGGCCATTTCTACTGATCATAATTCCATTGTTGAGGTCGACTAGAATAGATTTACATTGTTCAATGTTCCAAACTCTCATTGGTTTCTCACAGCATCTCTGTATAGTCTGTGTATTCTCTCTCTGTCCTACACGCCTTGTTGGAGCTCCTGCCCCTCCCCCTCCCCTGTGAGCCCACTGTGCTCTGATTGGTCAGCTCGCCCACTCTGTTCTGATGTATATTTTTATATCTGAGACCTATAATATATACCTAAAAATAGCATGATAGGAGATATTTAATGTAAGATCACATATGTAAATAAGAGCTAATTGAACCCAGTACTGACCCGCAGCTGGTCTCCAGTAAACTGTCTCCAACCTGCAGCGAGGCCATGCCGAAGTCTGCGATCCGGATGTTGTTCTTCTCGTCCAGAAGGAGATTCTCTGGCTTCAGATCTCTGTGACTGAACACACACACACACACACACGCACACACACGGACACACACACACACACACACGCGCGCACACACACACAGGACTTTAGTACGGATGTATCAAGGACTGTACACACATAACACCTGCACTGTTTTTACAAGACGTTAACCTGCACTCACATCTGAACACTTAAAAATATATTTAAAATGTTCATTCGAATGCTTCACTTTTTACTGTGATATCTTGTTTCAACGGTCACTTTATTTTTGTTCTATTATTAGTTTAATTTGTATTCTATTTTATCTTTATTTTTACCTTGTGTGAATCCTGTTTTTAACTCTGACCCTGTTGCAGCTATTAACGCCTGAATTATTTAAGGGATAAATAAAGTTCCATCTTATCTTATCTTATGCTTGTCCACATATTTTACCATCAAACTAAACCTTTTGCATCTGTTGGGAAAGCTTGTACACAAACTGTACCGTCGTGTTTATGTACCTCTACAGATCACACATGAAATTCTCATCATAAAAAAATACATAATTGGTTTGTACTTTCTAGTTTTATTTCGAAATTAGTTTCCGCTTAAACGCAGCATGATGAAGTCGTCATACGGGGGATATTTTGAACAATTAGGTCCCCTTTTTGTGCATCCACATGTAGGTGAACATGCATGATATGGTACACAGCAAATGCTATTCACATATGCCTTTTTATCTACTTGCTGCTTAGAAAAAAAAGCAGCCATGTGGCAAAAGGAGGAAAGACGAAGTGATTTTGTATGTGGGGAGGCGTGTGGTGCAGTGGGTTGTGAGTTGGTATTCGGATCAGGAGGTCACAGGTTCAAACCCCACTGCAGTCAGCATGTCGTTGTGTCCCTGGGCAAGACACTTCACCCCAAAATTGCTCCTGTGGGGATTGCCCACAGTATTGAGTATGTAAGTCGCTTTGGATAAAAGCGTCTAACAAGTGACATGTAATGTAATGTAATGTAATGGTTTTGCAAAGCAGAAATAGCTGAAAGGAGTCAGGATAGCGTTTGTCTTGAGCCATCAGACAAACGACTGGTATGGGTTTAACAAGTTTGCTTTAAGGTAAGAAGAAGTAACACTGGTGGTGCTAGTCAGGGCCGTTTCTTCCTATAGGCGGACTATGCAGATGCATAGGGCCCCCGCGGCCACTAGGGGGCCCCCAAGCTGAAAGTTCAGGTTCAGCCTCAATATATTTGGGGAGAATTAAAATGAGCCGTCTTTATTTGTAGGCAGCGCCCTCCTGTGTTCGGTGAAGCGTTATATGCTTACAAATCAAATGTAGGATATAAACACGACTAAACTGCAACGATAGCAAAGCTGAGGTTTGTTTTTGGGGATCAATAAAGTCCAAATCATCGTTGGGCTGTCAGCCAATGAGGGGCGTCTGAGGAAGATGAAAAATGTAAATTATACATTGTTGAAATGCTGCATCTCTTGCATTTATTGGCGTAGAGGAACCTTATTGTTTACCTTTTGAATACCATTTTTTGTAAGTTTCAATTGCTTGGTTTTCCTCTTAAAGTGTAACAGACTGATACATCTACACCAGCGACGTGCAGTCAGGGGAGGCAGAGCCACGTCACTGATCTACACAGACCATCTTAAAGGCTTCAGAATCTTACACTTAAAAAACTGTAAAACCTAGGGCCCCCAAAAGGCTAGAAACGGCCCTGGTGCTAGCTTTCTAAATAGACAGCCATGTGAGGGCAAAAGGAGGAGGAAAGTGATTTTGTGGCATGTTCCCGATGTCATGGTCTTGAAAGGGTTCGGATAGAGTTTGTTTTGAAGCAAAGCATCAAACAAACGACTGGTTTTCTTTAACATGTTTGCTTAAAGGTAAGAAGAAGTGGGACAGATTTGACACAACCGGGTTCAATTGAGAGAGAGAAGTGGAAATGGAACAAAAACAAAGACAGATGGTCGATAGCATCTCACAAACCATATGGAGTGACTGTGGCAGAAGTCCAGGGCGGAGATGATTTGTCTGAAGAACTTTCGGGCTTCTTTAGGCGTCAACCTGCCCTTCTTCACCAGGTAATCAAACAACTCTCCGCCGGACACATGCTCCAAAACCAGGTACCTGAGAGACAAGAGGGGAATATATCAATCAATCAGGGTTTATTTATAAAGCCCAATATCACAGATGTTACATTGGTCTCAGTGGACATTACAGTTTGTACAGAATATGAAGACGACACCCTCTGTCCTTGGAGCCTCACATCGAACAAGAAAAGACTTCAGAAGAAACCCCACAGTTAATTGAAAAAAATGTAAGAAACTTCTGGGAGAGCAACAGATGCTGTGCGTAAATTGAAAAGATAATACAACATAGGTAGACCAGATGCTGGATGATATTATGGGAACAGGTGAGCAAAGGATCTTTTGAACAGAAAACCTGGTATCAAAATGCATGCACACGACTCACGGACACTTGGATTTAAAGTCAAACACCTCTAATCATGCATGCCATGTGGTCACTTATCTGGCTAACAGAAGCTGTTTTCCCTTCAAGGTTGTTTCTACCCAGACTCAGATCCAGAGGGAGAAAAGCAGGGAGACGAAGAGATACTCACAGGTATTTGTTATTCTCATAGACATCATGCAGCTTCAGAACGTGAGGGTGCTCTATTAGTTTAAGAATAGCTATTTCTCTCTCCACCTGCACAGACAGAGGGAGGCAGAGACGTGGAGAGAAAGGTCAAAGAGAAGGAGGAAGAAGAGGAAGAGGAGGAGGAGGAAGAGGAACGTGGTTAGAAATGATTAAAGTTGAAATGTCAGAGGATGCAAGTAAAAGCAAAGTTAGGTCAAATGTGGCGCGGAGGGAAAAAGCATTAAATGTTATGTCTGATTCTTTAGAGTTCATTTAAAGATGGAGTTGTAGACAAGGGGACAGAAAGGGAGGAACAAAGAAGTCTGTGCTGTATTTGAAGCTTCAGACCTATTAGCTCCTATAGCATACTTAAAATACTTCTTAACAACGAGACTTAAAGCTGCACTTAATATTCAATAACACTAAACTATGTAATCACTCATAGTGAGAAACTAAAATTACCCCGTTAGCCCAACGTTGGGTTTTTGGCATCTTTCAGCCCTTTCTTTTGGTTTTACTGCGTGTTATTTTATTGTGTTATTTACTTTTTCACTCGTATTAAGCATTAAATGTTACGTCTGATTCTTTAGTGTTCACTTAAAGATGAAGATGTAGAAAGGACTAGTGTATTTTTAAAAGTATGAAGATAAATGGAAGACAGAAATTGAGGAACAAAGATATTCTAGAGCAGTGGTTCTGGTCCGGCCTCGGGACTTTTTCCTTTGTCAATAAATCGCGACCCGAAATTTGAACCACTCAAATCTATTCAACAAAACATTGTGCTGTAATTTATACGCTTTTCAGCATACAATATTAATGAAAGTGAAGTAAAGTGACTGTATATCCCTTCACAGAACTAAAGAATGCTTTTAAAAAAGGTTTAATGAGATGATGGAATCAAAGCTGAACTGTATAACATAAAAAGGCCCACATGCTGAAACCCAACCCCAGCAGGGGGTCTGCTCTGGGGGGAGAAGAAAAAGATATATAGGCTATATTTTTTTCAACTTTTTTTTTCTTCACTCACATCTGCGACCCACTCGAAACGGGTCCGCGACCCACCAGTTGAGAACCACTGTTCTAAAGGACATCGTACATTTTCTATAGTTGAAGCTAGCTCATAGCTTTTAGCTCCTAGCGTACTTAAAATACTTCTTAACAACAAGACTTAAAGCTGCACTTAATATTCTTGCATTAACAATACACGATGTATAATGTAAAGACTGTCACTCATAGTGAGAAACGTAAAGAGCTCCGTAGCCCCCAGTTAGCTTAACGTTGGGTTTTTAGCATCTTTTAGCTCTTTGTTTTGGTTTTCTCTCGTACAAAGCACTGCATGATACGTCAGAATATTTAGTGGTCAGTTATAGATGAAGTTGTAGACAGGACAAGTGTATTTTTGAAAGTATGAAGGAAATTGAGGAACAAAGAAACCTGTGCTGTCGTAAATGTTCTGTAGTTGAAGCTAAAGCTAGCTCAGACCTATTAGCTGCTAGCATACTTAAAACACTTTCTTACAACAAGATGTAAAGCTGCACTTAATATTCTTGCATTAACAATGACGAATGAACTATCTAAATGTATATATATATATAAGAAACACTCGTTAGCTTAACAGCAGTGTTTTTAGCATCTTGTAGCTCCTTGTTTTGGTTTTCTCTCGTACAAAGCACTGCATGTTATGTCAGAATATTTAGTGGTCATGTGAAGTTGTAGACAGGACAAGTAAAAAAGTATTAGGCAAAACAGAAAGGAAGACAAACAGATGTATAGGAATCTTAGCTGGAGCCCTTAGTAGCTTAACGACAGGTTTTTTGCATATTTCAGCTCATAGTTTTGGTTTTACGGTCTGTAACTTTACTATTTCCCCCCACTCTTTTCTCTCATATACATAACTGGTCATAAAGCACTCTCTCATACAGCATCAGTTTTAAAATCTGTCTCTCAAAGGGACAAACCAAAAAAGATCCCAAACTCTCAAGCCCTCGTTAGCTTAGCATCCGGGTTTTAGCATATTTTAGCCCTTTGTTTTACGGTCTGTAACTTCACTATTTCCATTTAACAAAGCTCTCAGAACACTACTTGTTCATATCAGCAGTAAACAAACATAGCTAGTGATTACCTGTAGCCAGAGTTGGGTGTAACGCGTTACTCACACTACATTACATTACATGTCACTTGTTAGACGCTTTTATCCAAAGCGACTCACATACTCAATACTGTGGGCAATCCCCACAGGAGCACTTTGGGGTGAAGCGTCTCAGGGACACAACGACATGCGGACTGCAGTGGGACTCGAACTTGCTACCCCCTGATTCCAAGTCCAGCACACTATCCACTGAGCCACAGCCGCCAGCCTACAGTTACTAACATTGCCCGACACGCGTTACTTCGTTACTTACTAAAATCAGTCATAATCACACTGACAGACAAGAGGGGTTTCCGCCGCAGGTTTATATGTACGTAATCTGCGCGACTTGCGCGTCCACATCTCCGCGTGCAGTGCTGCATAAACATGGCTGAGTCAGCGATAACTTTCGAGGGGTGGAGGTATGCCCATTATTTTGAGTTTGTCCGAAGAATAGACAGGAATGTGACGGTGAGGTGCAAACTGTGTCCAGGCCAGAAGCTGTTATCCACTGCTGCAAACACCACGTGGTCAAACCTCAACAAGCACCTGCAAAGAACACATGCTAAGGTGAAGCTAATAGCTAAGGACCCCCGAACCCAGAGCGAGGATGTTGTGAGTGCGCCGCCGCCGACCCCGAAGCAACACAAATTAGAATTTGGAGGACCGGTAACCAAAGCAGAGATGGACAGGCTTGTAGCCTTGTCAATTAACTACGGGGGTCCCTCAGGGCTCTGTTTTTGGTCCCCTCCTCTTCTCCTTGTACACAAACTCGCTCGGATCAGTCATTAGCCCGCATGGTTTTTCATACCACTGCTACGCTGACGACACCCAACTAATTCTGTCCTTTCCCTGCTAAGAGACCCAGGTCGTCGCACGCATCTCTGCTTGTCTAGCTGACATCTCTCAGTGGATGTCTGCTCACCACCTCAAGCTCAACCTTGACAAGACTGAACTGCTTTTCCTTCCGGGAAAAGATTGTCCCACTCTTGACCTGACAATCAACATCGGCACCTCAGTTGTTTCCCCGACTCAGACTGCAAGGAATCTGGGTGTGACCCTAGATAACAAACTGTCCTTCACTGCAAACATCGCTGCTACAGCCCGCTGCTGCAGATACACGCTTTACAACATCAGGAGGATACGTCCCCAGCTGACTCAGAAAGCGACTCAGGTTCTGGTCCAGGCTCTCGTCATCTCACGCCTAGACTACTGCAACTCCCTCCTGGCTGGTCTACCTGCATGTGCCATCCGACCTCTGCAGCTCATCCAGAATGCAGCGGCTCGTCTGGTCTTCAACCTTCCTAAATGTTCCCACACCACTCCGCTCCTCCGCTCCCTTCACTGGCTTCCGGTAACTGCTAGAATCCACTTCAAGACACTGGTACTTGCGTACCATGCTGCGAATGGATCTGGCCCTTCCTACATCCAGGACATGGTTAAACCGTACACCCCAGCGCGTGCACTACGCTCTGCATCAGCCAAACGGTTCGCTGCACCCGCACTGCGAGGGGGACCCAAGTTCCCATCAGCAAAAACACGTGGGTTTGCTATCCTGGCTCCAAAATGGTGGAATGAGCTCCCCATTGAAATCAGGACAGCAGATAGCTTACACACCTTCCAGACTGAAAACTCATCTCTTTCGACTCCACTTCGAGCGATAGAACTATTAACAAAGCACTTATATACTAATAAAGGGCTGGCTTATCTAAAGCCAGTTGAGTAGCACTTGAAATGTTTGGCTCTATGAAACCTGATGTACTTATATGATTCTGTTTTCTTCAAGGTTGTGTCTTCCTGGTCGAATGTACTTATTGTAAGTCACTTTGGATAAAAGCGTCAGCTAAATGCAATGTAATGTAATGTAGCATCCTTCATAGTAGAGGAAATGTTGCCCATCTGCACAGTGGAATCACCATCGTTCCAAGATATACTGCGCAAAATACAGATAGCAGGAGACAGAGGACAGCCATGGTCAGATAGGAAAACATTGAGACTGTTTAAACCAGGTGAGACTATATAAACCAGGTGAGAGAGGACTGTTTAAACCAGATGAGACTGTATAAACCAGGTGAGAGAGGACTGTATAAACCAGGTGAGACTGTATGAACCAGGTGAGAGAGGACTGTATAAACCAGGTGAGAGAGGACTGTATAAACCAGGTGAGACTGTTTAAACCAGATGAGACTGTATAAACCAGGTGAGAGCGGACTGTATAAACCAGGTGAGACTGTATAAACCAGGTGAGAGCGGACTGTATAAACCAGGTGAGAGAGGACTGTATAAACCAGGTGAGTGGGGACTGTATAAACCAGGTGAGTGGGGACTGTATAAACCAGGTGAGAGAGGACTGTATAAACCAGGTGAGAGAGGACTGTATAAACCAGGAAAGAGAGGACTGTATAAACCAGGTGAGTGGGGACTGTATAAACCAGGTGAGAGAGGACTGTATAAACCAGGTGAGACTGTATAAACCAGGTGAGACTGTATAAACCAGGTGAGAGCGGACTGTATAAACCAGGTGAGAGTGGACTGTATAAACCAGGTGAGAGAGGACTGTATAAACCAGGTGAGAGAGGACTGTTTAAACCAGGTGAGACTGTATAAACCAGGTGAGACTTTATAAACCAGGTGAGAGCGGACTGTATAAACCAGGTGAGAGCGGACTGTATAAACCAGGTGAGAGCGGACTGTATAAACCAGGTGAGAGAGGACTGTATAAACCAGGTGAGAGAGGACTGTTTAAACCAGATGAGACTGTATAAACCAGGTGAGACTGTATAAACCAGGTGAGAGCGGACTGTATAAACCAGGTGAGAGAGGACTGTATAAACCAGGTGAGACTGTATAAACCAGGTGAGTGGGGACTGTATAAACCAGGTGGGTGGGGACTGTATAAACCAGGTGAGAGCGGACTGTATAAACCAGGTGAGAGAGGACT